CGATAAACGGTACCTTTCCCGCGATATCGGGAACAACAGGCCCCGAAATCTTTGGCGGCTGGCGGTTGGTAGACGGGAAATGAGGTCCTCCTGGTAAATCCTCATCATCCGAGGAATCACTATCAAATGGGTCATTCCCCCCACCTCCACCTCCCTGTCGAGCAAAGAACTGCCCGAGTACGCTATCTTGTGGGAGTTGATTAGCTGGTTTTAGCGCTTCGGCTCTAGCCGCGTGGGTGCGCGCTTGTTGGCCGACCTTAGTGATGGCGCGTTCGAGTCCTCTTGACATGGGAGTGGTTGATATCCCGCGTGTTGGAGCAGGAGTCGTCTCATTGGCTTGTACTGGCTGTTCTGGGGTTTCTCTATTGTTCTGCGCGGGTGCGGTTTGGAAGCTAGCCTTTATTTTCTCACGTAACGCTTTTGTGTGCTCCTTGGCCTTCTGATACTCAGCACGTAAATCTACATACTGATGTTCAGCTGGTTCCTCATGAGTTTCTTCACTTATCTGATGCGTGACTTCTTGCCCATTCTCGAGGACATCTTCCAGCATGACTTGCTGTGTGTGAATGTCTAGCTCATCTTCGGGGATATCAACGTTTCCCCAGTTCGTTGGGTCGATTCGCGGTCGACGGTCGAAGGCCCATGTCTCGGTATTTCCTCGGTGTTGCTATCAATAGCCCTTCTGCGATCCTTTTCGCTACGGACTGCTCGCAGAATTCTTTCTACGCCATCTCGCGTCTCGACGACGGCTTCTATGGCCATACGCAGTTCGTCTGACACATTTTCATTATTTTGGTACCTAGTAACTGCATCTGAGCTATAACTTCGACGAACAGGCCTCGCTGCAGCAGCTCTGTTCGGACTCACATGCCTTCGGTCGTTTCGACCTCGGCTTTCGTCATTGTCCTCTCGTTGGTCAGCTTGACCGCGTGGACGTTCCTCGGGGACCCGATTCCCGAGTCGCTCCTCATCGCCAATGGCGACGGAGTCCTGCTCTAATCGAGCAAGCCCTTGCGGGGCTGATGAGCGCACTGGCTCCCGGGTCGACGAAGGGTTTTCAGTCGTGCTGCTCGTACCCTTCGCCTTCGCACGAGTAATCCTCGTTGCCATCCTAATATAGAGTAGTGAGTTCGCAAATATAGAGTCGACGACGTACCTGGGAATCCTTGGGTGATCAAGCCAAGGGGTATCCGACGATGGTGTCGACGACGAAGAGCGGGTTAGAGTGGTTGTAGTCGAGTAGAGTAGTGTCGAGCGTCGATGTCAAAAATATGTGACGGGGCGCTGAGATAAGCGAGTCCCGGCACACGAGAGCCTCAAAGACAGGGTAAGACGATGTATTCAAGACTGACTACTCTACGATCTACCTACGTCCTTATATACTGTATTTGTTATCTTATCAGTTATCTGGTGTAGATACTTATGTAATCCTAATCCGTTCCATTGGCGATGGTGACATTTGGCGTCACACATCAAATTTCCGCAAGTCTGAGGGGTCATTAGAGTTCTCGCCGTATCTCTACATGTACATCGTATTTCCAAACAAAATTATATATATTCTGAAAGCTCTCGTCGATCCGCACATGATGGTGAAGAAAAAGTGGTGAGAAGTGAAGAATTGACGAAGATGCGACCTGACAGGGCTCTGGAGCACTGCTCGGGGCATATCTCGCTCAAAACTTCATCGTTCGGAGAATTTAAAAGCTCTATGGCTTCTCTGAACGATTTCACATTCGTTAAAAATGAGTAAATGATGACGGAACGTGGAGGATACAGGAGATGAGCCCCCACGTCATCGGGATGAACATTGCACAGCCACATATGAGGGTCGGGCATCGTCGAAGGGACATGGCGAGTGTACAATGGGCTGGTGTTCTACAAATTCAACACGACTTCATTCTATGCGTCTACGTGGACAACTGTAGGGCTTTGTTTCACGAAATTATGACATCCTCGGAGGCGTACGCAGGCCAAGATGACTAGAGTAAAGTTGTTGTTATGATTCGCGCTCAAAAAGGCTGAAAAGTCTTTTTTTTGGGTCCTACTATCTTATTGTACCATGGGCTTCAATAACAGTTCCTGAGATGTATGGTTTCACGGTATACACGCACTATAGCTGCTCGACACTCGTCCCGCTGCCCTCATATGTGGCTGTGCAATGTTCATCCCGATGACGTGGGGGCTCATCTCCTGTATCCTCCACGTTCCGTCATCATTTACTCATTTTTAACGAATGTGAAATCGTTCAGAGAAGCCATAGAGCTTTTAAATTCTCCGAACGATGAAGTTTTGAGCGAGATATGCCCCGAGCAGTGCTCCAGAGCCCTGTCAGGTCGCATCTTCGTCAATTCTTCACTTCTCACCACTTTTTCTTCACCATCATGTGCGGATCGACGAGAGCTTTCAGAATATATATAATTTTGTTTGGAAATACGATGTACATGTAGAGATACGGCGAGAACTCTAATGACCCCTCAGACTTGCGGAAATTTGATGTGTGACGCCAAATGTCACCATCGCCAACCTTTTTGAAAACAGCAATAAGTGACGCGTGACATGATACTTATCTGTGACGAATTTGGTAGCCCGATCCAAGTCTCCACAACAACCTTCAAGTTGTTATCGACAGTTTAACTACGATGGAAACTCAAGCTAGTCACTCAGATGAAGCGAGCGTTTCACTTATGGACGCTTCAAATGGGTGAGCCCCACCTTTCTCGCATCTGAGAGGCCCATGGACCCCAACAGTGTCCTTGCTGCAGAGCTCGATCGCAGGTTCTCACCAACGCTGACCTCTTAAAAATAATTTTCTCCTTCTTCGACCCTCGGGTGTTCTTCTCAGCTCCTTATTCGATATCACAGTCCACAAGAATGCATCTTCTAGCAGCTTGTCTGACCTGCAAGGCTTTCAGCCATCCAGCGTCGGATCTTCTCTGGAGGGTCATACCGTCTATCATCCCAGTCTTGAAAGTTACGTGAGTTGCTCAGAATTCATTCAAGGGAACGCGTTTTCAAATCTCGTTACTTAGACGATAACTGGACCAATCCAGCCCTCCGAAATGGCAAGAATGAAATATCATTCCCGCAAAGTTCGATACATATATCTTGACAGTGCCAGTTTTCGAGAAAGCATAGCTGGGCATGCCCTTTTTCGACTTCTCTATGCTTGTCAACCTATACTTCCAGCTTTGCAAATGGTGTATTCCCCCTCACTCAATGGTCGAAACATCGAGTCTTTCAACAGCCTTTTCCTTCTTAACCCCCCAACCCTGACAGACGTGGTCCTTCGTGGCCTAGTCTCATCCACGGAAGATGTTCTATGCTCATTCCTATCAGCCATTTCCCAATGCCCATCCCTCTCCCGTATTTGGCTCGACGGACGACTCACACACAATTCGATCGGCCTCCTCAAACAGTTGGAGCAACTTAAAACCCTGCAATTCTCGCTCCGAGGAACAACTTTCCATGCAGCCCTTTTCCTTCGAACCTGCAACTTACCCCGCCTCCAGTCGCTCGACATCCAACTTCTGGACCCATCATGTTCATTCACCCGTTCAGGAGCGGCAGACTTGGCAGGCATTGAAGATTTTCATTCCTTGGAGCATTTAAAAATGAAAGGCCCTTGCGGCGAGCTCTTCAAACTCCTCGAATACATCTCCACTCAATCGTTAAAGACGATGTTTCTATCCTTTACGGCATCATGGACAGCTTCTTCACCACGAGAAGTCGTATCCTGCATCCAGGAGTGTGGGCGCCTCGGAGCATCCTTGCGCGATCTCGAACTGACTGGGATATCCCTAAGGAACGACTCATCGGTTCTACCGGAAGGAGCGCTTGAGCCCATTAAGCGTTGCACCATGCTGCGTACCTACAAGTTTTCCGCTGCCACGATATGTCTAAAAGACGACAACATCCGACAATTATGCGAAGAGGGAAATTGGCGTCACCTTGAAGTACTTGAGTTGCCCCGCTGTGTTGGCGGAGAGGCACCATCTTTCCTCGGATTAATAACCCTCGCCGAGCATTGCCCAGAGCTAAGAAGAATCTCGCTCTGTATAGATTTGACCCTTCAGGATTATGAAAGCCTGCAGGCTCAAAAGGCCCTCTCGCGCTTCGCGACCAATCTGACGCACCTTTCGATCCTCAAAGCCGCGGCGGATGGCATGATCTCCAGCAACCCGAACGCCGTCATGCTGGCCATCGGCGTTTCAGAGTTCCTGGATCACTGGTTTCCAAAGCTCATCCCTGACAACATAGTCGCCCCAACGGCTGACCAGGAGTGGTGGAGGGGTGTCAAGACTATGATGGCCAAGTTTCGGCAATTTAGAGAGATAATGTCGAAAGCTGTGAATTGATTCTTCCTTCTCGAACAATTGGCCAGAGGCAGCCCCTGCGGCGAATTTCGAAGCAAAACCGTCCCAAAATTCTGCCAATCTAGATCGTCGCCTGAGACCATAAGAGAAGCTAACAGGGAATAATAATTAATCTACAACAGCCCATACACGATGCCTTACCCAATGTTCTTCAGAGTGACGACTTTATGTGGCCCACCGTCACTAGTGCTAGTGATCCATCATCAACGACGATCATTTCAGGTCAAATGCTTGAGCGCTTAATCATGGCGTCCATCATATTGCAAGAAGACGCTCGGTCTCATTGTAAGCTGGCATGGCAATAGTCAGGGCGTGGGTGTTTACTTTCGAGGAGACGTGTGGACGCGAGGGGCTTGGTCGGGGAGTGGCTGGAGAGCAGCTGGAGGGGTATGCCTTCTCGAGTTCATGGGGACAATTGGTTATGACGACAAAAATACCAGGGCTGCATACGACTAAGAGAGATTAGGTAGCTTCCTTTCCGTCCCAGCCTAAGGCGTAATCGATAAATAATCACTGAAGCAACTATCAAGCAACGTCCATTCGCATCACGTCCAAATCATGACTTATGCTCTCCTCAAATGACGCGATCCTTAAGGAGCTCTGTGAGACAGAACAAACGCCTTGATCCCCCTTGTGCGACCGAACTGGGGAGCCCGGATGCCCATGGTTAATCTTGGAGGACTTGACATCAGAAGCCAGATCGTCCGACAGTCTCAAGCGCTTCGAACGATGCTGCGCAGCAGAAAGAGAAGGCGTCCCATGTGAGAGAGGTGCGGAGCTACCTTTTCCATGGCCTTTGAATGCTCGGGTTCGACTCGGGGTAGGAGTTGACTGCACATCGCTATTGTCGCATTCGTACAAAACACGAGTCGGGGCGGCTTGGGTATCCGAAACCTTGCGCTTCTTGACGTGCCTACGGTTTGAGAAAACGTCATCCTCCTCTTCTTCCCTGAGGCTTTCTAGTACGCGAGGGGGGCTAGACATAAGAGAAAGGCCACGTCTGCGCGAGGCGCGCATAGCCAGCGGACTGGAAGGAGGAGACGGAAGTGCGTCCGCGTGCAGGTCCACATTCATCTTCAGCATCCTCTCGCCCTCTTTCTCCATGATCTTGGACTTCGCCGGTTTCGGAGCCCCCGGAACATTCGGCACGATGCCCACGAGCCTTTCGATGCAATGTCGAATGTGCGCATCGCTGATGGCGTCCGACAGCTCGATTTGAATGTTTTGAGGTAAGCGAGCGTTAAATATCGTGGCGACGTCCATGAGTTGTTTCCGGGACATGAGAAGGAGATCTTCGTGGCAGCAGAACGGATAGCACGGCAAAGTTGTGATCACGACGGCGTCGAGAGGGTCGTCGTGGAGCTGGAAGGCGACACGAGCGGAGGGAGGTGCACCCGCGCTCGGGATGGGAATATCCTCCGAAGAAGGTACTATGACTGGAGACGCAGAGAGGCTTTCAGAAAGAACCAGCGAGCCGCGGCTCCATTTGTCCAGAGAATCGACCGAGTGGAAGACGTTCAATCTGCAGAAGAGACCGCGGATCGGCGTGACCGGGATTGGCTTCGCGTGGACGCTTTGAGATGTCATAGCAGTATCGAGTATAAAATCGGCGACTTCGTCTGCGATGAAGGGGAAGGTGTAGTAACGAAACGCTTCCAGTAACTAGTAATTTTCCTTGTGGTGGCTGACGCACGCCATTTCAGGCATATTCAAAACTAATCGGCCCACAACTCCGACGCCCAGGCGGAATGCAGATTACCGCCGTCCATGAAATAACCAGTGGAAAGTCAGGTCGACAAGGAGAGATGAAGTCGCAGACGGAGGTCACGGCTGAACACCTCGGCCGCTGCATGGGACCAACTATCTAATGCACCTTGAGGTTGGCGAGTCATGAGATAACAAGTACACAAGTGGAGGATAACTAAGGGCGTGTGTGTCGCTGCTTCTACCCTTGGGCAGTATTTCATAGCGGTGGTGGTTGAAGTCGAAAAATGATGCTGACGAAAGCATCGAGGTAGCTGGGAGACAAGCACGTGTACAAACAATGAACCTTGAATCGACCAGAAGGCCGCTCTTCCTTTTGTCTCATAAAAATATGCCAACAACATCTCGCCTAGCGACCTCCAACGTGTATCATTTTAACTGATTACGAGGAGTAATAGGACATGCGAGAGGAGCCTGCGAAGGCATCCCCTCTTGCGCCTCCTCAGATTGCCGTCGGGCCGACGGGCGCTAATCAGACAATTAGCGCGCGTGTTGGCCTGAGGCGTCTATGAGTAGCAGGGAACATGGTGGATAAATAGAGTAGATTTGATGTTAGAGACCGATTGGACCGTCCGTGAAACGGATATTAAAGCTGCGAAACCGCACTTTAGTTCACAACGCGGCGCGATTCCGAAGTCAGGCCTCCTTACCGGGTTGGATCATACTTGGCATACGTCCGTTTCAGCTCTTTATATCGGCCGTACGTAGCAAATACGTTCTGAGACACATCGCATTCGTTAATATAGAATGGTCTATTGGGAGATTTTGGCATCCTAAATGGAGAAACAACTAAAATCATGACGCCGGGATATAGCACTGGCAGCTTACCTCTCGAACAGCGTTCGGCGCGCATCAGCCACTGAGGGAGGTAGACTTATAAGTCCATTTGCAAAGGATGTGTGAATCTGGATGGCAACATAATTCCCTCTCGGTGGGTCCATCGGGTTTCCGCCTCTCGATTGCCCGGCAAGAATTTGCGAGTCTAGGATTGGCGTGAACGCGAGCACATTTGAGGAGAGGGTATCTTTGACTTTAGTGTGTAGTCTGAAAATTCTCTGAATGAAGTAAAATACGTCTCCACTCCGACGGAATTATTGAATGCGGAAGCCCCAAAAAGATGGCCAAACCCTCTGTCCGCTCCCGGACCTAGGAGACTATTTGCTTCGACATAGCTCACCGGGGAGAGTTGGGTCAAGGTGGCCGGGATCGAGAGGAAGTCTCCGAATATCGGCTCCGGAAGGGCCGATCCATGGTAGAAGAGAGACAACAAGTGGATGGGAGTGACCTCCGTTCCGTTCGCGGTATACCCAAACACCATGAGGAGCGCTGTAACGGCAATTAGAATGCGCCTTCGCCAGGCACAACCGGGAACTTACAAGCTCGGGGGTCCGACACAATTCTCACAAACTTCTCAGTCGCTTGCAGCAGCGCATCTGCCGACGAGTTTGGGTACTATTGGCGCTTTAAATCCCGTCCCGGCGCTTACAATACCGCGGAGTTCACTCACCATAATAAAGCCGCCAAACCAATTCTTTTCTGCGTTCGTCCCCGTATGGATGGCCTGTACTTCGTAGCGCGTCACAATTCCAAAACGATTCGCGCCACCCTTGAGCGCCCAAAAGAGGTCACTATATTCGTTCGTCGCGGTTGCAGTGACCAGTTTTCCTGTTACCAGTACGACATCAAGTTCGACGTATGCGTCGGAAGAAAACCCATGTTCGCCAGAAAGGTAACTGAGTCCACCACCAAGGAGAAGTCCAGTTCCTACATCACTGGTTAACTCTTTAACTTGGATCTACATTTAGAAAGAGCAGAAAATACCTCACCCGAATCTTCCACCCATAGGTGCAACGCCGAGGGATTCCAGTTCTGTCAAAGCTTCTCCCCAGCGGATTCCAGGCTGGAGCGTGATGGTGTCCTTCACGGCATCATACGAGGCGTTTTTCATGCGCGAGAAGAAAAATAGAACGCCATCTTGAACTCTGTATTTTATTTTTATTTTAGACTCGGAACTGTAAAGCCCCTGGTGGCCGGCGAAGTTTCATTGCGCTCACGTATTCCAACCAGTCATAGCACTATGTCCACCAGACTGGACCGCGTAGTGAATCTTGTCTTGGAAAATGGCACCCATCGCGACTTGGACATCCTTCGCGCTCTGAGGGAAGACAATACATGTCGGCTGGCTTGCGGCGTTGAAGAGGCTCCATGCACTGGACGCAGTTGCCGAATATTCCGCCCCGGACAGCTGGACAACATCCGGGCCAAGAGCGCTCTGTATCCGTCTGCAAGTCCTGAAAGCACTCCTCGACGTCGAGTCATTATTTCGAGGGGTTATTCGGCCAATGGTAGCGTTGAAGATGCTGGCCGCCAGGACGTAGGCGTCGAACCTCATGATGGGCGACGGATGAAAGGTGTGTTGCAGGATCATCATTCATAACAAACCTGGTTTATATCAGGACGCGCAAGGCACCGATGATGTACAAAGACGTCGGAGATTCAGATTTGGCCGCCAAGCATTGGGAGTTTCAAACTTGTGCTCGTGCAATGAATGACACCGGCGCCGTTTTCCCTTCTTCTTTCTGTAAGCACCCAGGGGACGTTGTTCTTGGTGCCGAAGGTCAAGAAAAATGGACTGACTGATAAGATGTATTGGTCATCTCTCCGAATCATCACGGCTGCTCACCGCATGCCACATCACTGCGAAGGACTCGCATTAAGGCGTATGAAGACCGAGTGGACGCATTTTTTGCTGACACAGAGCTAAATATAGAGCATATGTCTATACTTCTAAAGGGCATTGTATCCGCACACCTCTTCCACTCTCTTCCACCCCTATATTCCGTCGTTGCCGCAATGAGAAAACTGATCGGCAGTGAGGCGCTGAAGAAGCGCCTCAGTACGTGTAGTTCGAGATGGAGAGAGTAGAGCCAGCGGCGAATACTTGTTGCTTCCAGGATACATTGTTGCAAGACTGTTGAGCAGGTACTGAACAAAACATACGCGATTTAAATTAGATATCGGTTCTAAAAATACAAAGTTCTTCTCCACAGCAAATTATTACGCTACACGATGTCAATACATGGGTATAACAAGAGGTATAATTAACCAGACTTATCTGAAATATGAAGTAGATTCCGAGGCTGGCGCCGGAGATTACTTGATTTTTGTTCATACTAAAATAAAAGCCAGGCCTGATTGACAAGGTATCCCTGTCGAAGAAGGCCGATGAAGCCTAGATTCCTGGACACACGCGTTTCGCTCCCGGATATTCAATGTTGCGCGAGCTGAAATTGAAGCCGTTACGGCCTGTCCGCTGTCGAACTACTCCATGTGAGAAAATATGGACGGATATCGAGTGGCCGGGCCCTGAGAAAGGGTTATTTGCTGCATAGATAGGACCATGTTAGAAATAGCAAGATTCCTTCTCGCGTACAGTCGCTGTCAGTTTGTGATCCTACCGTTTATTCACCACAGGTACCCATGTATGCATAGAGCACCCCAAACCTTTGCGAAGCCCCGGCAGCGGACCTTTCGGATGCCGGGAGTTCGTGGTGGAGTTCTCTTGGTCAGCGACTGCGATCGACATCTTGCCTCAACAAGGTGGTGATCGTGCGGCGCAACTGAGCGCTCAGCCGGCTGCCAAATCGGGCAGTCGCCACAGCACAGAACCAGCGGATCAGAGCAACCTAGTTTCTTTGACCCCTGTATAGGCGCTGCAAGTAATTGGCCAAAAAAGGTCAACGTGGGCCCAAGCCGCTTTGCAAGGGATAAAAGGGCAAGGCGCCACTCGTTTCGCCATCTCTCCTCCCTCCGGTCCTTCATGTCCACTTTTACCATGTACCCCTCCACTGAACCGGACAATCAAGCAGCACAAAGCACGCGGGTTGATCCAGTTCACCCTGCTGTCCATTTTGGAGCCACTGCACAATTGCAACAAGACAACAACACCGCTGAGGGTCAAGCTCGAGAAACGAACCAGGACGACGGCATTGAGTCCATTATGTTCGACGCGGTTGGAAATCGTAATCAAGCCTTCGAAGATATGACTGAGGACAACCTCAGAGAGGCTATAGCAAATCTCTTCGGTTATGCCCGTGTTGGGAATGGTTTGGGATATATGTCGCCTGTGCAACAGGCCGCGCAGCAGGCATATGCCCATTTCCATGCAGTGTCGTCAAAGAAAGGAACAGGCTTACAGAACGCGACTTGATTCTCTTAGAAGACACGAGGAAACCGTGAGAAAACATGAAGAGGCCCGGAAAAGACATGAAGACGACTGGAGAAGGTACGAACAAGCTTGGGGAACAAACGAGCGGGCTTGGGAGAGGCATGAAGAGGCGGAGAGGCAGCGCTTCACAGACATATTCAGGCAGGAATAGAAACAAAGTACAAACCATAGTCTGAAATAGGCTGCTGTCATCGTGAAATATGTTTTTGTTACCGTTCTTATTGTTCTAGTTCAGGTCTGTAAAGCTTGCAGTACATGGCAAAGAGAAAAGTAGAGTTTGAGAGCCAAAACTGCGGCTTTTTGTTATATCTTGTTGTATAAACGTCGTTATTTCGTTGTTTTAAAATCGATGAAGGAAGATTGCAGCGGATTCTGGTCGACAGTGATGAGGGGTCAGACCGGTCAAGAGTTGCACTCCAACGTGACATTTAGGGTTGCGTGACATCCGGCTGGTCACACGTTACACGTTTGTGACGAACGCGTCTTTGACACGGACCACGACGACGAGCCCAATGTCGACAACGGTGCCCAATGCATCGAACTCACGATCAACCCCAGGGACACCAATACGTGCCATAACATCCAAAATTGCCGGCAGGTCCGCCCCCTCAATACCACCCGCAAGCCAGTCCTATGAACCTTTAATCAAAGCGCTCTTTCGTCACCGCCTGAAGTTCAAACTTCTACTGTCGGCTTCGGCAACATCATTGGTAGTGAACTCATGGAAGTGGTGGATGCTGGGTGGGAGGCCGAGACTTGGGTGGTTGGGGACGCTATACCTGCCATTCTGTCCAAGCTCGTTGCTGTTCACACTGTTCAGTTGGATCACGGTGGCCCTCCCAGTTTTCGTCCTGAGAAAGGTGTTCCTGACCGGTGCGTGATAACATTGCACATAAATTGTGTCTAGCTGACTTCCTCGAATCATCAGATCGCCGGTCCTCCGCTGCGTCCCCCTTAGGCATCGTGAAAAGTGCCCTCGCCCAAAACAGCATAAGAGTTGCAACCATCACATATTTTCTGTCCGCCATTTGTGCTCTTCTCGTCCATGTATTCCTGGCTTATACCGGCGATGGACACCGTGGAGATCCCAAACTTACATTATTTGTCAAGTCAAAGTAAGCATATTCTTTCCTCGACTCTTCCAACATTTTACCATATATTTACAGAAAACATCCTCATTATTTAAATGAGCGCCTTGTCTTTCTCATCATAACTCAACTCTTTACCGCACTCACATTTACACTGCGCGGAACTATGAGCGACAGGTTTGTATTCCGGTGGTCCCTCGCGGTACGTCGTGCATTCATGCCCTCTGAACGCCACAGCTTATATCACGACTCAGGTAGATCCTAAAAGTCAAACGTCAATGCTCGTCGTAGCGGTTGGGTTCTTGGTATCAACGGTCTTCACCACATTTGCGCTTACAGCGGCATCTCTTGTATTTGGTGCAGCCCGCCTTGCTCTACCTATCTTTTACAAGATCCCCTTCGTCTCAGTCTTCCTCCGCCCCTTCACCGCCCACTTCTTGAAAGGCTCTTGGACGCTATCACTTCCTTTACTCCATATCCCCTTACTCTTTAGAGCCTGGTTTTTGGGATTCAGCACCTTCTTGACGTGGGAGGCGTCAGACCTTCTTTTCGAGGGTGTTGTCTCAGAGGTGAGCTATTCGTCCTTCATTTCATGTCGCTGATCCTCAATTTGCACACATGCAGACGTCTTCAGTGTCTACCCAAACTTCCGACCCCAATACAACGCTGGTCTCCGGCATTACTTCAAAGGACCGGGTATTCAGCTTCTTCGCCTATTCCGAGCTCAAAGAGCTAGCAACAGATGAATCAGCCAGCGCCAGTGCCAGACGAACAGCACTGTTCGGTGACCAAAAGAACGCCCTCAACCTCTGGACCCATCTCGCCCGCGAAAGCTTGCTCCTTCTAGGCCGGGACTACCAGCTCTTCCTTCGCCGGGGCAAACCATCACCACCACCCCCAGCTCCTGAACCGGTTAAGCCCAAGGTTGTTCTTGGTCCACAGATTCTTACAACACCCCTTCTCCGACACAGAGTATTCAAAACTACCGCAGAATCCCCAGGACAAGCTGCGTTGGATGCTTTGTCATCGGATGGCCCCATCGCGAAAGTTCTCGAGGCTGGTGCTGATGCCACGCACGTGCCGGAGCTGTTCAGAAGTGTTGAGACGAGGGTGCTGACGTCTCCAATTGCGGAGGAGGCGAAGATGAATGTTCAGAATGCGAAGGGTTTAGGTGGAAAGGCGAAGGATGGAGCTATTGCATTCATACGAAAGAAAGCAAACAGCCACGTTCCTGAACCAGTGAAGGAGATTGCTGCAAAATCTGTTGCATGGGCCATGAACGACAGGTTGAGCAAGGTCGTCGAGGCCTCCTTGCCTTATCGAGAGCTGGACGTTGTTGTCATCGAAGGTCAGCTCTCGTGCACACTAGCTGAAGATGAAGGATCCTAACGTCTCCGTTCCTCTAGCTCTGTCATCACTAACGTGCGCTTCGTTGACTGAGGACCGATATGGTGTCGTTCAACGCGACATCCCAAAAATCCTCGAGGCGTTGATCTCGTTTTTGTCCGCCGTCGAAGAGTACCAGATGGAGATCCGTACAAAGCACGCGCCATCGATGTCGACTACCCTTTCGGCGAAGGAGCGAGAAGAGCAGGAGGCTCTAGCCATCGAGGTGCACAAGGCGCAGGAAGCCCTTGGGTATGTAGCTGATGGTGCGTCGTTCGTTCTTTTACTTGTAGTCGCTCGCATCTGACTGTTTGGTGTTGGCGGTTCTTAGGCTTGAAGGAGGGGATCATGAGGATCGTGCGCAAGTTTGGTGACAAACTTCTGGCGTTCAAGTTTCCGCCTAGGATAGCCCAGAAGCTCCAGGCTTTTCTTGATTATTCATGATACTTACGGGTACATAAAGACATGAAATTTACGGCTCTTCACTATATGACGGCTACGAAAATGGTTCTGCAAAGAAGACGATGAAATCTTGAACTAACTCGAATCCGACAACGGCTATTATTTTATTCAGCAATCGTCTCTAAGTAGAGGAAGTCATATGTGTTGTCTGCACTTGAACGAGATGTTGGCGCGGTATGGCTGTATTTTCTATGCGATCGGGCTAGTACCGTACTCACACTTCCCCCCAGCTGGTAATCAGGAAACAATGTTGTTATCATGTGCCCGAAGAGTCAGTAGGCTGACACGGATACATGTCCCGTTCCCATCAAGGAGTCTTTTTTTCGTACGCATACCTTTTCCAGGCTCGAATTACAGAGCGGCTTACGTTCACAAAATCGCTGACATCGTGCAGGAATAGAACCTATCAAGGGCAATCGACCAATCTACGCTATAAGCAGGCGACCAGAAGTGCGCGAGAGGAATACATCTACTTAGTTGAGAATGGGCGGCTTTGATTGGTTCGACTCAGTCTGTATCATATCCCCCATCAAGAGCGAAACCGTCTCTAATTTCTGTGCTCTTTGAAGGTGACTGGTGCTTGCCCTATGTATAGCACTTACGAGGTATGCAATGCTGTAACCGATTTCTCGAAATCTTCGACCAATGTGTTGTATGCCTCCTAGGTCGCTGACTATATCTACGAATGGGCAGAATGGGCAGAAGGTGTAGAGCTATCAGAACTCGCAGCCGAGGGTCAACCCAGTGGACGGCACGAAGGAACTCGACCTTGCAGGAGGACAATGGGGTCTCTTTCTAGTGACATATGGGGCGGACTACATTACTCCGAGGAAGATGTTGAAGCAAGTCGGAAGCTCGTTCTAATTACCAGGCATCATGCACTCTATGATGACAGCGTAGTGGTAAAAGAGGACCGCGATGCTCCATGTACGTCTCTCCCTTTTTTGTTCCTGCTTAACGACATGTTCTGAGGAAGCCGAAGCCTCAGATATCGGCCTCATATTTAACATAGTCCCTGGAGATGATTTCGGCAGATACAAAAGCGAAGACCCTGACGATCCCAATGAATACAACATCTATCATTTCGGTGGCAAGAACTCCCTTATCGTCTCGCGAACTGCCTGGTACATCCTCAAATCTGCTGCGCCTGCTGTCGCAGCTACGGTTCTGGGTGCTATTTCATCCAAGACCGGTGGGCAGGTCACGGCTGGGCATATCACAGGTATTGACTATGGCCCTGCTTCATACATCATCGATCAGGACGCCTGTTGGGGGGCTATCTGTGGGACAGAAGAAATCGACGAAATGGGAAAATTCTGGAAAGACCTGCTGACGCAGGATAAAAGTGACGAGGAAATTATTTATGACGCCTGGAGAGGTCCTGGAAATATGTGGGTTTTCGTGCGCCCGGATAGGTCAGTAATCCTCCCCTTCATGGTTGAAATACAAGTGAATTTGAGTTTTGCATCTAGATTTCCGATTTCTGAGACTATATCCGCCAAAGAGCTACCTACCTTTCCTGTTCTCGACATGGCCGCGAACAAAGTTGAAAAGCTCTCGTTCAGCACTATGCTGGGGGATATCCTACTCAGCATCTGGGAACACCTTCCCGTCAGATCCATCTGCGCCTTGATGACAACGAGCAAAATGTATCGTGCCTACATCTTCCCTCACGCGAATAGCATCTGCCATCGACGACTCATCGCCTACGAGCCATGGTACCTCCCTGTTGGTCCGTTCCAAACGCCGCATGGACGAGAGGAAATTGAATGGTGGGAATCTAAATGGTCACAGGGAATCGATATACCTATATCGGAGATTGACAGCAAGATCCCGTGGTTGTTGTTCCGTCGGGAGTGTAGCAGCAGCATGAGTATGTGGAATCGAAAGCGGATTTGGGGTATTGTGAAACAAATCGAGGAACTTTGCCGCAAGGAGGGCATCCTGGTTTAGCGTCTGCTACATAAAAAATATTCCGCCTCTCACTGTTTAGCCTACTCCTTACTCCTACGGGTAATGTCCCCTTTTAGCATGGACTCGGAGTATACTAAACTAAACAACGACCAAACATCTAGTCGAGTCACTTTACTCCCTCGTCCATGATTACCAGAAACCGATTCATAGAAGTCGCAGAAAAGGGAGAATGTTCAACCCGGGAGAAAAGGCAAGAAAGCCCGCTTCTTGATCCCCAAAAGCAACGACCTAGGACCAAAGAAATAATCGCCCCAGGTACCGCAAAGGACTGGCATACTGTTTCTAAAGGCAACTGATGCAGGTTTCAAAGGTTATCCTCTCCTCGAAGCCAATCGAAATGCCATAGAATCGATCAACAGGCGCACGTTTGTATACAAATCTACAGATCCTGGAGCTCTCGAGGCGAGTATGTTTCTATCTCAAGCTAGGGCACAGCTGAAGGAAGCACCCTGGTTTCTTCATCTTTCAGCTTGATATTTACTACCCTCTTGAAGAAGAGATCAAAGAAGAAGTGATAAGGTCAAAAGCCCCTATTCTCATCTTCTTTTATGGTGGTGGGCTCGTCCATGGCTCACGATCATCACCACCATCCTACTTGGTCTACAACAACCTTGCCGCCTTTTTCGCCTCCAGAGGGATACTCACCGTCATACCAGACTACAGGCTCGTCCCAAATGCAACATATCCTCAGGGGTCAGAGGACCTACGCGACGCAATTCTATGGAGCATTCAGAACATCTTGGAAGGAGACCCTGGGCGTTTACACGTCCTCACCCACTCTGCCGGTGCTATACACATGGCCGGTCTTCTCTTGAAGTCTCAGTTATTCCAGCCTATCAAGGGCAGAATCCGCAGCATATCTCTGATGGGATTCCCCTGCGTCATATCACCCTCTCGCGCGGAATTGTACTCCAACGCGCTGAAGTACTACGGAAGCGCTCAGACCATTTCCAAAGAGCAGCCGCTAGGACTACTGAAACGGGCTAACGAGAAATACATTTCCAGTCTTCCTCCCATTCGATTTATCTTCGCGAGCAGCGAGCCTAAGACGATATCAACCACCATGCGATTTTTCTTCAAGGAATTCCGGGCAAAAGGAGGCAGGATCATGGAAACTGTACTTGATGGCCATGATCATATGAGCCCGGTTTTGGCGCTCGGTTCGGAAAGCGGAGAGGAATGGGGTGAGGAGTTGGCTAGTTTGATTCTCAAATAAGGTTGCTTCATAGCGGAACTTCCTGAACAGGCTTCTTTCTTTACAATTCTGTGTCTCTAAGCGGAGTGAGACCCGTCGCGTCTGTACGCGTCTTCAAAGCGCTATTCTGTGGATGGTCAGTGGCCCTGGTCGTGCAAACCAATATTTTCCATGGATCAGCCCTTGCCTAAGGCTTCAGATTGGGTCTCACCGAGCAATACCGTGAATTCTATTTTTCTTCAAGTTCGATGTGGTCAATTCAGTCAGTTCGTGTCAATTTCCAGGATTTCACATTTACCTCACGGTACCCGAGAAACTAGGTATATATTTGAGCCCATGCTTTTTCTAACGCACCGTCGTTCGTACTTTTGACTGGATTGTTGGCGCGACACAGGGGAGGCCGATCCCTTTTGAGGCAGGACCCTGCACACATCCAGATCGGATTTTACCCCATCCAGCTTTGAGCGGAACGTCCAAGCACCTACCCGTAAGCTCTACCCCGTCTCACATTTGGTCTCTATGCTAAAGATATGTCAACGGACGTAGAGCGACGACCGACTCGCTTCGACAGCCAAGTTACACGTGTTGAAGGCGGTGAAGAAGATTGTTCGACGGAGAAGCTACCGCGGTTTAGCATCGATGGGTCTGGATCGCCTGACAATCCATACAACCCTGTACGCCGGCGTCAAATAACGGTCAAACCAGTACAGTCATCTTTGTATTTAGGCACCACGAAGGCACAGCAGACACCCGAACTTGAAGGGACCATCGCCACTTCCAGGTGCACAGACTGGGTTTCAAGACCAGGCAGGTCTGCCTGTTTCTCTTGACCATATTCTCTTCTAAATGCCGTCTTTTGTACTTAGTACGGGGAAGTTCCGTGGCGCTGCGGAAATCCTCACCGATTCAGCACACCGAAGAATGGCGACTCTTGGCACAAGTGCTGGAAATTGACGGAAAAGCATGATAATGAGATGTGTGATGCGTGGAAGGATGAAGTGGACAAACTGTTGATCTTTGTGAGTGGCTTTTATTTTGTGTCATATCGAGGACTGAAGACGGGTGTATGATAGGCTGGTCTATTCAGCGCAACAGTGACAGCATTTGCCGTCGAGTCGTACAAATGGCTCCAGGAAGACAACGAAGACGTCTCGGTTCGCCTTTTGGCCTTCATGGCTTCTCAAGTAGCCCAGTCCAACGTTTCGGTGCCTCCTGAACTCGTTCCCCCACCATTCTCTGTCAGCGGCTCCGACATTCGAATAAATGCTGCGTGGTTCCTAAGCCTCACCCTCAGTCTGACCACTGTCCTCATTGGCATCCTATGCCTTCAATGGTTGCGTGAATTCCAACGCGATGCAGCACTTCCTCACAAGGAGGCAGTTGCACTCCGTCAGATGCGATACGAGGGATTGCTACACTGGCGGGTACCGGAGATTCTCTCAGCACTACCGGTCCTTCTTCAAGCTGCCCTCATCCTTTTCTTCGTCGGTCTCCTCGATCTCCTGTGGAACCGACACCAGCTAGTAGCGATTCTGATATCCACGGTTGTGGGGGTTGTGATGAGCTTTTTGGCAGCAACTACGATGCTACCAGCTCTCCAGCATGCATTCACGAAGGTTAAACACCTACAGGTCAAACAATGCGCATACAAGTCACCTCAGTCATGGCTTTTCTACCGCACCGGCCATGTCATTTTCTGGTTATTCAATTCCTTCAACCTTCCATGGTCGAAGTTTGACTCGCATCGCTTTCATCGGCTGCTCAAATCGGCAGGCGATCTGAATTGGATGGCATTTGACATGAGATGGAGGCAGCTGCGCGATGCTGAGGAGGTGGTCAGGGGCACGGCGAAGAAGCTGAGGGATTCGGACGACATCATCCACGCCCTCCAATGGATCAACAACACCTTCGCACAGAGCGTCGAAGCTGTCTATCCCATCTATCACGGCCTCGCCGATCTGGACGTTTCGACTGCGGCAACAACGATCTCAGGCTTCTACCTAGATGGCCAAATCGACAACGCCACTCTTCGAGTGATGCTGGACGACCGGTTTTCGCCAACGGAGGAACAAAAGCGTGACATCCTCTCCGCGTACTACCTTCATCTCCACCAAGGCACCCATATTGTTCTCAAGGCATCGTACTTTGAGACGATCATCAGGATACTGAACTCGCAGGAAGTGCCACGACCATTCTACGACTGGCTCTCAGAAATCCTGCAAGAACTCGCGTCAGCACTTCCCTCTTCCACCGACTCCAGCTCATCGTTTTCTCTTCTCGACCCAGAAATCACAGTTCAAGTACTCATATGCATCAAGAAGCTCATTCCGCGGAATGTTCTTCAAACACTAGACGCCGTCGTGGCATGGGCACTCCTACATCGTCTCCTTTCCCCTTCTCTCATTACCTCCTCGGACCCCGACCATCCGGCTGCAGTGGAAGTAAACGTGTCGCACCTCAAGCTTGCAGGAGGGCTCTTCGAGCAGTTCGAGTATTGGATACATCGTGGTCGCGAGATTGACCGTTGGGAGCGCGTCAAGCTCTGTGCCGAGGGGATGATGACCCTGTTCCCGCCTTCGTCTGGTGCTGACATACCATGGCTCGAGAGCTTGTGTCCAGAAGCGATGGCAAAGGCTGGCTCCCTCGTCCGTGTCCTCAATGCACGGATAGACGTGCTAGGTGGACCCAAGGCTGTCTTGCTTCGCGAGCGATGGTGGTTGGATTACTGGGAAGCATATACGGAGAGCGATTGGGAGCGGCTGTTGCTGAACTTCCAGGTTCTGGGTTCGCCAGAAGAGTTATGAGATTTGTAGTACGTTTCAGTTTTTCCTGTGTTGATAATTCAAGTTCCTCATCTGGTCCTTTTTTTTTCCAAATGAAGAAAAGAGACATTTGTTTACAAGGCTAGCGTATTTAGTAATCACTAATCAAGGTAAACTCGTGAAGATGACTTGCTGTACCAGCGTCTGATGAATGCTTCGTTGATGGGGTGGTCAGTTTCCTTCTCATCAAAGTGGATGCGAAGTCCCTTTTCTGTATAGGGCCACAGTTTGTCCACAACTAGCCCCCACAACCCCCGACCTTGATCTGTTGAGACATGGAGCTCTTGAAGAGGCTGGAATAGTGTTGGCTCGGGCGAACACCTGACTTGCACCATGTTGATGAGCTTGTCCGCAAAAGTGGGTATGTTTGAGACGCAATCACATCTACCGAGGATCGGAGATGTGAGTATCAAAGAAGGCAGGAAGGTGTGATCCCGGGATGATAGAAGTTCCAAGAGATGAAAATAGTTGAAATAATGGCCACCACAAAACTTGAACTCTTGAACACTAATGCCAGCGTCCAGGAGCGCGACAAAGTCCTCGAATGAGTCTCTGGAACGATCAACTAGGGAAAGCCTGGTCAGGGATGTGATAGGTTCTAAGATGTTGCAGGACTGGATTGGCGATGAAAAGAAGGTGTTGTTCAGGAGTTGGAGGTGCTGGAGACTGGGGAAATGACAGATATGAAGGGTCCTGAGGGCAGATACTTGGGACACAGACCCAATGGATTCACGTGGTCCATACAGACTCAGAACAAGGTCGAAAAGTGCGGAGTGGATAAAATGTGTTGGTAACTGCCCTTCTTCCTCTGGCTCGGAAGTGATCCGGAAATGTCCAATTTGCAGCAGCGGACAGTGCTGCAGCAGCTGAACCCACTGAGCCAAATTAACTAACTCCTCCATATTCAACCGAATTAAGTTTGACCAACAAAACATCTGTGAAAGATTAGGGGCTGGATAGATTGACTGGCCGAGAAAGAGGTCGCGAAGGCGTGTCGATCGGCGAAAGACCTGTGAGCAGCGCTGTATGGTGCTAAAAGAAGGGGTTTGATCATCACCATTCGAGAGAACGAGACGCTCCAAGTTTTCGAATGACTGTTCCCCGAATAGTGACAAAAGAGCGAAGATGGAGTCGCTGCTGAGGTACAGCTGGACAACGGAGGTGATTGTGGGTTTGATGGTATGCAGAAAATAAGAGAATTCATCCAGGTGCCAATTCAGGTCCATCTCTCTGCAGTCGACGAACAACCTGAAAGTAAGAGGACGCCCTCGGGCACGTTTCAAGAACTCTTGTATTCGTTTCGAGATGGGAGAAAATTGGTTCTCATGTTGGAGCTCGATACATAACTCCGACCACAAGCACGGCGTGGAAAGTACGACCGTCCGCCAGGCGGATGATACTTGAGAAAGCGAGAATGGAGCTTGAGAGCGAGTGCCAGGTGGGTTGTCTGGAACGCAGTGCAAGGCGATTTCGTGGAGAATATCATAGGGAAGTCGTCGAAAGGGGGATAGGACAGTATTGTAAACATGAATCATGCTTCTGTGTGAAGCGGCCTTGCTCTTCAACAATCGCTTTTGCTTGCAAAGGGCTTGTATTTGAGCGTCAGCTGCATCCATGGCGTCTTCGACTGACAACAAGGCACTCTCCTCCTCTCTGCGGAGCTCGACAGCAGTTCGCGTTGCTTCTTGATTGGCTGGACTATTGTCTTTGAGAGAAGCGGTGATAATCCCCGGAAACCGGATGCCATTATCAATGTCCGGCTAAGTCTTGTGCGTCAGGAAGTTGAAGAAGAAATCGAAGAGATTATTCCTTCACCGATTCGTCTGATGACGCCGAGTATTCTGAATCTATCTCGGTTCCTTGACCAATTAACATATTTGCAGATGGCGGTACGAAGAAGGGTGGGTCAGTTCGAACATTTGGGGACATGGTCTGTCAGTTAAATAAATACAACCAAAGCAGCTCAGGTCAACTTGAACTCACTGGTGTGGGAACCGACTTTATGTGCGGTCAAAAAGGCGTGATAGGGGTGTTAAACTTTATATACACGATTTTTTTGTTTCAAATAAAGTCACAATAAAATCTTGCTTTCCCATGCTCATAATTTTCCGAAAATCATCACCTTTGAGGTAATTAGTAATGACTAAATTTACCCGTCCTTTTGTTGCTCCGTAAAAGACAATAAAAGCGCGGAATTTGGAACGACAAAAAGGACTGACATAAAGGATTCGGGGGTACAGTAATTCACTGGCTTCTTGTACACCCCCGCCCAGTTGTACACAGTGACTTTTTGAGTGATAGGACTATGATCGGGTATGTTTCTTGAATCCTGTGGGTGAATATATGGTTGGATCACCATTTGCAACCTTTGTGGGAGAGGCGGCACTGCTTCCGCTGACAGGGATGGGAAAACATTCCAAAAGCGGAAATTGGGCAAAAAAATCGACCATCCTTCGTGACTCTTCCATGACACTAGAGACCAACTTTGAGAGTAAAAGATGTCTGAATATCATGTTCTGACTGACTGAAATGCAAATTTTGGGTTGGGCTATCACCAAGAGAGCTCCAGGGCCTTAAGATCATCTGGAGGGGGGAAATTGGTCATCGGTGATGGGGAATGTCACACCGCATCATAAGTGTGACACACCCGTCATGCTGCACCTTGATCCCCCGTTTTCCTCAATTTCGAACACATAACTGCTTTTTCCACAAGCTCCTCAACACGCTTTATTACGGTCAACACTAAACTACCTTAATACACCCCCATGGCAAAGCACGCAGCCTCCGACGCGCTAAAAAAACGCCAAGAAGAAGAGGAAAAGGCAAGAGCTTACCGGATTGCTCACGCAATTTGGCTGGATGAGCAACAGAAGCCAAAAGACAAGCGCCTGTCTTACCGGGAGGTGGCTGAGGAGGCACGCAAGCAATGGCATGCCAAGACAGGCCACTGGCTGAAGCTGAATCACAACACTGTCCGTAATCACGCAACTGGCAAAACACGTCCTCGGGAGGAGACTAAATGGGATTCATCTCATTTGAGCGCTGTCGAAGAAGAAGAGGTTGTCAATTACCTCATCGAGACGGCAGCTCAGGGCTTCGGGCTGTCACATCGTCGTTTGAAGGAGCACGTCATAGAGCTCTGCCGAGCGCATTATGGCACCTCCTTTCCTGGTCTTGGGAAGCACTGGTCCCACCGCTTTGTTGAGCGGCATCACGAACGCCTTCACGTATACCGGACTCGGCCACTCCATGATGTCCGAGGGAAAGCTGCGAACCCAGAAAACCATAAGGCCTGGTGTGATCTCGTTGAGAACGTCCAGCTGCATGGAGATGAGGGCAACGCAATTGCACCTGAGAACACGTACGCGCTGGATGAGGCAGGTTTTCAGGCTAACGGTGATGAGGGAGAAGAGCGGGTGATTGGCGGAGTGGGCAAGAACGTCCAGTACCAGCAGCAAGCTGGAACGAGGGAGACAACAACTGTCATTGTCAATATCTGCGTGGATGGGACTGCCATACCTCCAGCCGTTTTGTTTTCTGGAAAGGGCTTTGCGGTTCGGTGGAAGCAAGATAACCCTGCAGAAGCAATGTGAGTAATGATAACCTTTTGGATCATATCATGTACTTACTGCGACAAGGCTGGGATACTCGAAGAAGGGCTGGACGGATAACGAGATCGGCATCGAGTACGCAAAGCACTTTGAGCGAATGACTCGTGAGAAGGCGGGTGGCAGGTGGCGAGTCCTCTACGTCGACGGACATGGTTCACATGTCACTCACGGGTTCTTGATGTTCTGCAAGGCGCATAAGATCCATGTCTTGTGCTATCCTGCCCATACAACTCACATTTACCAAGGTCTGGATGTTGTGATATTCAGCCCGATGAAGCAAAGGTTCGGTGAGAACCGTGACAAACTCTTTCGAGAGACGGGCCAGGAGATCTCAAAAGAGAACTTCCTGAAGGTTTATGGTGACACCCATCTTGCGATACTACAACCGGAGTTAATCAAGAAGGCGTTCTCGAAGACAGGAATCATACCTTTTAACCGCGACGTGATCTCCGCCGATAAGCTCGCTCCCAGCCGCGACACCTCGTTTCGGCATTACACCCCAGTCGAGCCACCAGCTGCTGTCCGCATCATGACGGAGCTGATCATTGACACCCTCCAGCCTATCTTCATCACGTCGTCTCCAAACAATGATTCGGATACAGATTCCGAAGGTGAGGATGAGGGAGCCAGTGGGGATGCGGTTGACGAGAGAGGTGATGAGGAATATGAAGCGGGTGAAGAGGAGGAAGAAGCGGTGGCGGATGGAGAGCAGGACAAGGAGGTGGAGGATGGTGCTGATGAGGAGGTAGATGATGTTGAGGAGGGGGGTGGTGAGGCTGGTCATGAAGCGGGTGAGGAGGGAGAAGGGGAGGAACAAGAACCTGTAAATGATGAACCTGCCCACCCACGGCTTGACACCTTTCCCATCCGAGCCGCCCTCGAAGAACTTGCCAACTCTGATTGCGGCTTTCTCTTCTCACAAACGCCTATCCCATCGTCTTCTAATCCACCCGATCTGCCGAATGTTCTCATCTCGCCTATGAAACGTCGCATTACCAAACCGTCAATGTCAAGGCAAGATGTCACATACCTCACAACAAAGACGACATCCACACCCGACGAGGACGCCATGCAGGAGGCTCTCATTGCGAAAGCAGCGGCAGCAGATTACTACAAGGAGCAGGCGATCCGTATGCAATCCATGCTCGTGTTGCAGCGATTATACTGCAACAAACTGCGTCGTCAGCTTCAAGCGAAGGAAGGAAAGGCAGAGAGGAAGAAGAAGGGGCGAGGAGGTATTCTACGAGACGGCTTACCTCGTTTGATGACACATTCCGCCGTGATTCGAGCCGTCAAGGAGCACGAGGATGCGAAGGCGAAGGAGGCGCGCGACAAGGAGGAGAGGGCTGCCCAGCAGCTTGAATACGAGGAGCGGATGGCAGCGTGGCAGGCACATGAGGATGGTCGGGAGGCTAGGAATGCGGCACTGTATCGCCAGTTTCAGGAGGATGCAAACAAGTGGACAGCAGCGCGAGTAGCAGCGAAGGAGGCGGGCCGCAAGCTGAAGGTTTGGGACAAAGCCCATCCAAAGCCTTTGCGTTCGAATTACAAGGAGACCCGGGTAAAACCCCCAACCAAGAAGGCGCGGAAAGATCCTGAGGAGGATCCTGAGGAGGATGTGGGTGGCGACGGTACGATAGACGAAGAATAGAACAAGTGTTTATCGATTGATCGCATCGGACCGAAGATAACTGAGCTGCGTGACACAGCCACCGGCAACGGCGTGACACTGTACAACTGCCCGGTTTTGCCCAAAAAGGGTACCCCGGCACGGATTTACTGACAGCGTGTCCATTTCTCACCCGACGGCGTTCAAATCGCACACCGACCTAGTTTCGACATATAGGCAGCTCATATATACAGAAATGAACAAGAGTTTCATCTATGACGAACAGTAGAGGGCATTTTCATTTTTGCTGTACAAGAAGGCAGTGAATTACTGTACTATAAAAGGAATGCCCGAGCCCTTTATATCAAATTTTGCTCACAATTAAAGGCATCAATTACCTAACAATTATAGACGAACATAAAGTGTTGATATAAAGGGTTCGGGCATTCCTTTTATAGTATCCCCGAATCCTTTATGTCAATCCTTTTTGTCGTTCCAAATTCCGCGCTTTTATTGTCTTTTACGGAGCAACAAAAGGACGGGTAAATTTAGTCATTACTAATTACCTCAAAGGTGATGATTTTCGGAAAATTATGAGCATGGGAAAGCAAGATTTTATTGTGACTTTATTTGAAACAAAAAAATCGTGTATATAAAGTTTAACACCCCTATCACGCCTTTTTGACCGCACATAAAGTCGGTTCCCACACCAGTGACTTGTTGCTTCATCAGCCGCTGGCCAACAGTCACGTGACACATTCGGCAACGCCACCCCAATAACTTTAGGCTGTCAAGTCTGCAATCCTACATAAGGACCATCTCGGCATACGACTGATCAAGCAGCAAAATGCCTACAAGGCTGCTAGCCAACTGCCATCTCAGTACCATTCATTTCTCCGGTCGCGCACGAAAAGCTTCACGTTCCACTCTCAGACGGACCACAGTTGTCCGCCGACACATCCAAAGAAAGAGAAAAAACAACGAGATCTTGAGCCTGTTCAATTTTCCACTCTGTGAGCTTTTCTGTGGGGTGTTCGTACTGGGGAGTACAACCATCAAGGCTGATTCGGAGGTCATTCGAAGTGTACTGTTCCAACGAATAATAGAAATCTTGCTCTTGATGGTCGTCCTCCAAAATGTCAAGCAGTCCGATATCGACCACGACCTCCTGCAGTCGTTGAGAGGGTTGCATATCCAGCGCGCACCGCACCTTCACCATCTCGCCGAGGTGCTCGAGGACGACTTCTGGTTCGTAGCAGTTGGAGCCAAAGCTAACCGCATCTTCGTCTTCCTCCTGCTCTCCTCGTCATCTTCAAATATGTTTGAGTCGTCATCTAACTCTCCGTCGTTGCTACGGTCATCAGGATCAAACGTTGGGTTATGTAGCACGAGCGTCGAAAGGCATGGAAAGAGAGCGGGGTCGGACTTGAGCGTATCCAAGAGATTGGGGACATCTTCGACATGAGAAGATCCAAATGAGAGACGCCGAAGGTTTATGCATGATTTTAGCAGATCTTGTGCGCAGGGGAAGGCTCTGTGCCATTTTCCAAGTAGGGTGAGTTCCTGGACGGATTCCAACCACTCGTAGGACTCCTGGCTTACGGAGGCGTCGGGGGCGTTGTCGCCAATGTCCTCATCGGTGACAATCTGAAGTGACTTCAACGCAGGGAATTGAGACAGCTCTAGGATGTTCTGGCCAACAATTATTTCGCGGAGCATATCTGAAAAGTCACGTTTCTTCAACTTCTTGCTTTTTCCTTTGGTGTATGGAACAGGCTTGAAAAAAGTTTCTAGTGGCTTGAGGACAAAAGATTCGAGTCGAGGGAAGTGGAAGTGGCCCTTGAAGTAAGGGATGCACGTCACAGGATGCGGCGTGGCCAATGCGAGACGGGCGACTGACGAGATGGAGTCGAAGACGGAGCTCATGAAGGTAAGAAAGTCGGATCGAAACATAATGAAGGCAGAAGAGCAGCACGTAGCTCTATGATGGCTTCTGCAGTAGTTGGGATAGTTTAAATGTCGAGCTTGGAGCCTGGCGTCAGTCAAATCTTCCAGGGCGACAGAGACATCCTACACATACCTCGGCCATGTTTTTTCGATAACCAGGTTATCCAACTTGGGTGACGGATGCTGGCATATGTTGCACTCCAGGGTCGTCAACGTCGTCCCGACATGAGATCTGGGGCTTTGTTAAGGCGGCCTGGAGCTTCTGTTTCCAAGACGGTTCACCACTGAAGAAGTTCGCAACCTACTTGAAAACGTAGGTGCAGGCAAAAATGTTTGTGGGGTGAGATCTGGTGAGATAAAGAGAAAGAATGAAAATTCGGAATCGCTGTCTAGTCAGCTACATAGGCGTGGTAATAAATTGCCCTTTTCGAAGCCAACTATCTAATCAGTTCTTCACCGAGTGATATCTCTAACCCCGACCCATTCCGACGTGCTTTCACCAATACCACCATGGTCCGCAAATTCTTCGTTGGAGGCAATTTCAAGCTCAATCCCGCCAGTCTCGCAGCATCTACGTCGCTGATTGAAGGCTTGAACAAGGCCGAGCTCGACCCAGAGACAGGTGCGCAATAACATCGCTTGATCTCGCGTGGAAGCTCTAACTTTAAACAACAGAGGTCGTCATCGCCCCGCCGTCCATCTACCTGATCCCAGTGAAGGAGAGTGTGCGCAAGGACGTCAAGGTCGCTGCGCAGAACTGCTACTTCAAAGAGTCTGGCGCGTTCACTGGGGAGATCAGGTGCGCGAGACACGCTATTTGCACATCGGATTAAATCTGACGCGACGTTCCTTGCCAGCCCGAAGCAGCTCGTCGATGCTGGAATTCCCTACGTCGTTCTAGGTACGCGTCAATCGCCCGATTCTTGATCGCATTCTGAACGATTTTTTGCGTAGGCCACTCTGAGCGCCGTACCCTGTTCCACGAAACCTCCGCACTGGTCGCTACCAAGACTCGCGCCGCAATCGATGCTGGCCTAAAGGTCATTCTTTGCATCGGCGAGACCCTCCAGGAACGTGAAGCCGACAAGACCGCGGAAGTTTGCCAATCCCAGCTGAAGGAGGTTGTCGATGTCCTCAAAGAGGCGGATTGGAGGTGAGTTGCCTTTTAGTTGACTTTGGAGCATGAATTGAATACGTCGGATCAGCAACATCGTCATCGCCTACGAACCCGTCTGGGCTATCGGTACTGGCAAGGTCGCCACGACCGCCCAAGCACAGCAAGCCCACGCCGACGTCCGCTCTTACATCGCGAAGGCGGTATCACCCGCCGTTGCGAATAATATCCAAATCTTGTACGGCGGTAGCGTTACTGCTGCTAACAGCAAGGAGCTCGGTCAGTCTCAATATATATGCGGCATAAATCAAACATTCAAGCCCCTTTATTTACAGCGCGTCAGCAAGATGTCGACGGATTCCTTGTCGGAGGAGCCTCCCTCAAGCCTGAATTCGCCGATATCATCAACGCCAGGAAATAAAAGTGAAGACAAGTTGTACCACCTGTTTCTGTAGAGTTTCCTTGTCAATAAAAATATATTTCCGCAAATCAGGAACTTTAACTTCTTTCTACAACACAGAAAGGCGAGATATAAAGTTACCAATGAGCTCCTTCGCTGAGAACTGCATAGACGAGACAGGTCAGACAGGAAGTCGGGAACTCAACAACTCGGCGCCTAAACGAGATGTCTGGACCGGCCCGGTATGCTATTGTCTCCGAGCTGGCGTCCCCTCTCTGACAATAGGCTACTTGGTCGATTTGTGGGGAAGGAATGGGATCGCGAACATGGGTTGGGGGAAATCAGCGGCTCTTTCTATCCTCAAAGGGAAGCCTGTGCGAGTGCTATAGTTGCAGGGCATGACCCTCTCACCTTCCCAGCGTGCATACACTCAAACTCCGTGCGTATCGCGCTAGGCTATACTTAACAATGAGGATCTGCTGAACTTTTCCGCGGCCTAACAGCCTTATGAAACGATAGGTCTCGAGGTCAATCTCGGCAAAGATGTAACGTTAGATATACCTGCCCGAACGGTTTCTCCGGCCCTCGAGGATCTGCTCTATTCAAAAATGACGACCTTCTCTCTATAGGTTACACTTCGTCCAGGGGTCAGATTAGGATGCTTATTATAACAGAGGGTAATATACTACACATATCTCATCTCATTACGGGTATCCGGCATTCGTACAAGTTCATCTACAAAAAGGGAGGATATACGGGTGGTCCAGACGAGGCTCGAGATAATGAAATCATGACAAGAAAATTGCGTGTCTCGTAAAAATACATAAGAAAAAAATGGAAGGTACAAGAGAAGAAGGAAGAAAGAAAAGGCACGGAGTTGCGTTACCACCACCGGGAGACATTTAGGCAACCGACGTCGAGGCAGATACCAACGGTCGCGGTGTAGGGGGTAACGTACAGCTCGAGCTCGGGTGGGAGCCCGAACTCACACTAGGACCGATCGACATGGAGGACGCAGGATACAGGTCCCACGAACGAACTTCGATCGGGTGAGACGAAGGAGACGCAGCTTGAGTTCGCCGTCTGCTGTTACTTCTGCTCGCACTAACCTGGGCTTGACAGCGATGATGGTTCGAAGAAGGTTGGGGAGGCTGAGACAGAGAGGGGTTCACGCCGATAACAGTGGAACCAGCAGCGTTAGGGTGGGAGCGAGGCGTCCCCGAGGGCGAGCTAGAAGGATATGACGAGAGCGAAGATGGTGCAGAAGCAGTGATGGCCCCGCATGGGGGCATCATAGACGTCCCCAACGTCTGTGCACGCGTCCTGATGATCGACCTAAAGACGACAGATCGCCCGGAAAAGAGAAACGTGGGATGTCAGTAAAAGGTTTCGATAACGGAAGAAAGGAGACAAGACGAAGGACGAAACACCAAAAGAAGGCAGGGGGCAGTGACGTCGGGGCAAATATAGAACAGGCGGTACGAATTAACCAGGATGAAGAATTCTCGGGGGAGAAAGAGAAGGAGCGTTTCGGGCAAGGGGGCAGGAGAAGGATGGTGGAAAGACGTACGTTCCAGCTCTAATCAATTCGCTTAGCCTTATGTGCTTCTTCGCCTGCATGAAGAAGAGACCAGTGCCCAATATTCCGGTTCCAGGTCCGCTGTAAGTGGGGCTGCTTTCGAAGAGCGGGGCCGTGGATAATGGTGTGGGGGAGCAGCTGCTAACTGGTGCGGCGTAGAAGTCCCTCCCCGAGCACACAGTGCCTCGTGTGTGTGCCACAGGGTCCCTGCCTGGACCCATGCCATCCCCAAGGATAATACGTTCCAGCGACGGGTTCGTGCTAACCCTCAAAATCGTCTCGTTCCAGACGCTGGGTAACAAAGTGCAGAAAGTATGCAGCTTAGGTCGAGTGCTGAGCGACTGGACAAGGGCGGTCATTGGGCCGGCTTGAAGCTGTGATGGAGGTAGAGGTTGTGCGGCATGTACGAGCAAGTTTGCTGTATTCGAGTCATCGGATAGGCGAAACGCAAGATCGGCGTATTCCTGAAACGAGTTAGGTCTACCACTAAATGAAAGGAGGAAGGGAATAGACAATTACCAGCCAATCCCACACGTTAACGGCCTTGGCCAACTCCGCGAGCACATATCGCGGTTTGGGTTGGGTTAGGTAGACATTGTTTGGCTTGCGCACGACGAGATGTGTCAGGCCCTTGATCTCTTTCAGGCCTTCGCAGAAGTCCTCGGCGTCGAGATCGCGAACGATACCCTGGGTCGCTGGGCACAGCTGTGTGATATCAAGTGCAATGTCGAGCATCCTCAGCCCGGGGCCACAGAGCTCGAGCAGCTCCCCTCCTTCTGCCCATACTCCCGAAAGGACGACACGTCTAATGTGGGCGGCGAGACAGGGGTTCGGCCTCAACGCACTCGAAAGAAGTCCGTGAAGCTGTGACGCGGACACGAGGTGAATTGTGTGATAGAAGAGAGGTGTTGATATTCTGCAGAACGCCTTGGAGACGAGGAGAACCGCTAGGCGGCCACGAATGGGCGCTGATGGGCCTGTGGATGGAGTGTTGGGACGGTGCCATGATGGGCGAGGTGGCGAGGAGAGTGGTGCGACGACGAGGTGGGATAGGATCTTCTCCAGGAGCTCCTCCGGAAACGCCGATAGCTGAAGACTTGGCGGTACCATGGTGGTTGGGAATAAGATGCGGCTGGAACAAGCGGGTTATATCGCGAAATAGGTGCCGGCAAAGACGTCTAAAGCAGGGTATCGAGGTGCGCTAGAGCAAAACGGATTGGAGTCAAGACGGTAGGTTCCAGTAGGATGTTCGACGAAAGAAACTCTAGCTTAGGAGGTAAATGCTGCGAGGTTAATGTCGCACTCACGGACTAATAGATGAGACTCACTGGTTTCACCGACGATAAAGATATGGATTTCGACTGCCAGCCCAAACAGGAGCTTCGTCGGGGACCTTTGAGGGGGAGGGGGTTCGTTATAATGCAAGATTTGATAAAGATACCAGGGGCGTTTTAAATCTAGAGGCGTCGGTGGGGGAACGTAATTTGTAGGAAGTTTATCCTGTCGAAGTGCTTCGCAGGTTCCCACACCTGCACGGCCAATGGAAGTTCCGTACAGCCTCTGCTGTCTGTCAAGATGGTGGCTTTGTGGGGTTTGGTAACTACTTGATGGGCTGTTAGTGCTTAAATTAGGATAATCAAGCGAAAAGAGGCGTACTGGGGTGGTGGAAGATGGCAGGAGAGACAGCAGCCGCTCAGTTGGCTGACAGGCGCAAGGGCACGTGATCCTATATCGTTTACGCGTCGCGTGGACTTGGCGCGGACATTACCCCGACAGACGGACATAAAGCGAAATCCGGTTGCTTAGGACGCCAGACAGCACGTCAAAAATGTCCTTGATATCTTACACAACGCCTATTTTACATACAGTACATTGTTCAAACGGAGCATTGTCAAAGTTCATTCGGAGCTGAAGAAACCACTGTCCCAGTCGGTGTGCCATTCATTAATTCCAGCCGGTGTAGCCCTTATGACACGAAGATCAGGACAGAGGCCTGGCAGAAGTTAAAGAAAGCTAAAACGCACATAGTTCTTGCAGTAATAGCCAACGCCCTTGCCAGATTGCTTGTAGTCGTAATCATTGCAATACTTCTTGAAGCAGTACTTGAGATCGTAGCTCCATTTGTCGTGCTTACGGCAAAGGCAGCCGTAGTCGAAAGGGGCACACTGATACTTGAATGGATTTGGGGGCCAGCAGCGAGCAGCACACTCTGTCGAATGAAAACATGTTAGAGCCGAATAGGTGAAAGAAGATGATCGTCGAATACGTACTGGGCCAGTTGTAATCTCCGCGACTCTCGACCACCGCATCGACCGCCGCAGCGGAGGAAGCTGTGGCTGCAGCACCGATAACGAGAGCGACGATAGAGAAGCGCATGCTGGAATGTCGACTGAGAAAGATTGGCTGGGTGGTTGAGTTGATGGATTCGATGCCTCGAGAGCGGTTTAAAAGCGGGCGTCCTCTGAGACCAATATCTGAGCAATTGACGCCTGAGACATAGCGTGGCTGTTCGAGTCTCGGGATCAGCGACGTCGGGCGGGGAGGACTGTATTGAGAAACGGCTCCGTGAATTGGTGATACAGGTATGACACTGCACGGAAGGATCGAATTATGGCCATTCAATGGACGTGGATCGGCGGTCCAATTCGTTTATTATCGAGGAGCCACTGTTGGCAGTGTCAGGGCGGACGACGAGCGTCGTAATTGGAAAGTAACGAGGCAAATTGAGTACAATACACAGCGTTTTCGTACGGCCCAAATGTGCAGGCTATTCGGACAGGAGCCTAATTAGATCCATTTGAAGCACTGAAATGCGAAGATCAAACTCTTAACTACCTCGAGGCTCTCATCTTCAATGTCTCAGACGAGAAGTCCAGTAATTGAGAATACAGATCTGTTGCGAGTCTTAGAAGTCCTTCGAACGAGGCGGTACGTACCAAGCTGTGATGTTAAACGAAGATGCACTCACGTACACTGCCAGATGAATTTATTTACAACGACTTCCGCCCGCAAGGCATGGAAAATGCGAACGAACACCCCCGCAAAATTAGTACGGTCGACTTTAGTTTGGGTTGTTATACACGTTCCCCGACTCGGAGCCCGTGTTTGACTCGGAAGAGGCAAGATTGGAGCATTGTGGCGTCGAGTTCTAAAAATAGAAAATCTGCCGGAAATCTGAAGCAGGAAACGTGCAACACTTCATGCAAGGGCCCACAGAAACCATTCCAAATGGCGACTAGGAAACCACGGCCCGACGTATTCTCGCCACGCCTGCCCATGCCATTTAACCTGGGGCACGAGGGGGAAGTTTACAAACTCCAAGAAAAGCAAAGGTGCCACCTCGATGCTACTTCGGCCCACGCCTCCTTCGGCAAATCCAAACCACCCGGCGCACCACATCGATATGACGCTCCGCCTTTCCATAAGCGCTCAAACCGCCCAAAAAACCGCGGGTGACATCATAAAAGATAAGACTTCAAATTTCCATCCCAAGTCTAACTCGTGCACTCGGCGCTCGCACTCCACTTGGCGAGCGCGGCATCGCGTCTCCATGCACAAGCCACCTTTTCCAGGCATGTTTTTCGAGAATTTAAGCTCAAGGCGGACCGAAGAATGCGAAGGGGTACCTAAGTCCGTACTTGACGCCTCCGAGTATTTGATAAGGTGGCCGGAGGCTCCAATGTTCTTCGCGCGCTTGCACGGGATTTATCATGTTAGTTTTGTATATAGCGTGCTTCCACAGCCCACGGTCGAGGCTTGAAGAACTCCTTTGTTGTCCCGCCCTTTAGTAGTCTCTATCATCCCCCTCGCCCTTCATGACGAATTTGCACATCAAGTTCCCCTCTGTCTGGCCTGGCTGGAACATGCCAGAGTGCACACTCACTTCCGTACCGCAATCCGAGACTTATTCCCTCCCTTCGTCCTCTTCACCCCGGCACAAGTATGACGACGAACCGAAAGTAGTCTCAGTGACCGTCGACCCGAAGGTCCACACCGACTACTGCTCCGACTCGCCCGTCTTTCGCGGCTTCATCCAAGACGACCCCGACGACGAGCGGCCGTACCGCAACCACAACCACACCTTCGTCCGCCATGCCCCCCCACGGCTCTCATCGTCGGACAGCAGTAGCTCGGAGGACGACGCGGGCCCTGCCACCACTGTTGCGCTCAAGTTTGCGATGCGCGACGATTTCATCGCGGACCTCGTAGAGGAGGCGCAGGTGTACGCTGGGCCGCTGGCGACGCTCCAGGGAAGGACAGTGCCGCGCTGCTACGGGCTGTTCGTCGCTGAAAACGAGGACGGCCAGACGATCGCGTGCCTTGTGCTGGAACACTGGGGCGAGGTCATCCGGAAGCCCTTCCGCCAGCTGCCTATAGAGACAAGGTACGCCTTCTAGCTTAGCCTTAGCGTGCGCGGTGACAAACAGCCCTCGCGGCTTCGACTTTTTTTGTTCTTCCCCGACCTTGTCTGAAGAATCCGGGTACTGGAGAGGCTAGGGGAGATCCACCGACAGGGGCTTGTCCATGGTGACTTCGCTGAGCGGAATGTCCTGCAGAACACGAACGGCGATATTAGGATCATCGACTTCGACCAGGCTGTATACGACCACGACTGCAAGTGCGCGATGAACTTTCGCCCAGGGGAGAAGGTGCCCGATCGGGCGCAGTTTGGGTGTGAGCGGTTGTGGGAGGTCTGCCGCTACGAAATGAAGATCTGGTGTGGGTGCTTTCACTGTTTCATGATTCCTATGTGAACACCATCGGCTAATGCGGGTTTGAGCAGAGAATAACAACGTGAGATTCAATGTGAACATCATCGCGCTAAATTGAAACCTTAACTCCAGCTGTCGCTGAAGAGGAAAAGGGTTGCATACCTAACTCCTGTAGTCATACCCGTCCATATGAATACCATTTCGACTGCTTTCAACTCTGAACCGCTGCCATCTGACTTAGAAGATTCTTTGAGGCCTCGCAGCTCTTCATCGAGAATGAGACGAAATGTCATTCAAGTTAGACGTACTCGTGTCCTGAAAAAGACGCCCATCCGGATCGGCGGGTCGTACTACCAGAACCAGCTGATACGCTCCAGGACCAGTCCCTGCCACTGATACGGACTCAAAGTCTCTTGGATAAGCTTCAAGCCCACGGCTTCCTCATCCTTCTCCCCACACTGTATTTGGAGTTTTTGTAGAGAACGCTCTGTTGATGATGGGCGACAAAAGGGCGGAAGCGTTCCTTAACGAAGTCTACAAGGTTATCGAAGAATAAAGGTCCTGCTGTGTCGTCCTTTTCCTTCCAGGGCAGCTCGGGATAACGAGCAGGCAGTGCCAAAGAAATGAGGTTCGGAATGAGTCGGGGGTTGTGTTCGTCAGGATTTTGAGCATTTCTGCTAGGCTCTCCTCCAACTCTGGGTGCAATGTCAAAGACAGCAAATTAGGACAAGCGTCGAGAATTCTCTTCGCGCAAACAAAGGAGTTACTCCACAATCCACGAAGAACAATTTGGTTGATAGACCCCATGGGTTTGATACCTGTGGGTCCTACATTTGCCGCTAATTGTAGGTCTCAGGAATCGAACCGATGACTTAGAGCGTCGACTTTGTGGGATTTCACACGATAAAGCAGCTATCAGCGCGATTGAACCACTAGGCCAAAAGGTGTACACCTAGTTTTTCACTCTTTGTCTTTTGTCACTCCCAATTCGACAACCGAGGATTCCATGACATATATAATAGCTAGCGTCATTTGGACCCCGATCCAACTGGTGTTGAGGGGGGTTATCGTCTCACAACGGGGAGGGGCTTGCTTCCTTCCCACGCCGTGACAGGGACAGCTGGTCGCGCTGATCGCCAGTCTGCCGACGTACTGCCGCTTTACGGACTTATCGTGACCTAGACTGTGCGTAGCCATCACCCACCTTTGGACTCAGTCGGCAGTCTCCGAAGATCGTACCGAAAGCAGTACACAAAGTAAGGGGGTTCTGAGCGATAGGTCTCGTTGATGGCCAGATCAAGGTTCTGAGGCAAGGAAATCGACACATCTTGAGGATATCGGATGGAGAAAGCATAGCGTTGGGATCATCATTCAAGGACTAGATTGCCAAGGAAAGAAATTCGAGTGTGGCGTATCTCCACAAACAATTCCATGCAGACAGAACAATACTCCTCCATGCAGAAGAGACATGGCAAAGCGACAAAGGGGCTTCACGTAGAGTCGCCCTTGGGGGATCCGTCACGCAGTAGAGGGCAGTCTCATGTAGCACATCCACAGGGACACGACGCAAGGGAGACAGAACCACGTCACAGGTGTGCATCGTGTTTCGATGAGCCGCTGCTTCCCCTTCTACCAGTCCTCGCCGACTTTTTTTGAGCTCCGCAATTTCGTTGTCGATGGAGGGAAGCTGGGACTCACACTTATCGAGTTCCGCTAGGGACCGAGCACGGAGGCTGACAGCCACCTCGGCGCCGGTGCGACTAGGGGGTACGTTGTTCCTGGCAGAATGTCGGAAGCCCTCGATGTACGAGGCGTCAATCTGTGTTGACCATCGAGACAAAAGTGAATAAGTAATGGAAACTTGAAGACATGACGAACACACCACGCTTGCCGACGCGCTAAGGATGTCAGGTGCGAAAGCAGATCCATCCTAATTGTTGTCCTCGGCCATGGGGCTGTTCGATATCTTGTTGGTGCAATTTATGTTCTTTGTTAGACGAATGGCCTGGTCGTAGCGAATGGTGAATGGCAAAGGTCGAAGATGCTGCCGCCCACTGTTTGAGATTAGATTAGATGGAGGCATAGACACGTGACGCTGACGCACTCGGGCCGGTGAGTCTTCGGACTCCTCGTAGACTACACTCTGAACACGACGGTCCAGAATTCTAGCTGCCCGTTGAAAAATTAGACAAAGGACAGAAAGGGCATCAATCTCAAAGAATATTTGAGGAAATTGGAAATCAGAATTTACTCAAATCTTCTGGAATCTGAAGCGTGAAGAGCAGGATGGATTACAGGAAAATTAGATATCCCAGTCCTCAAGCAGCCTGTCAGCAGGGTGCAGTAATAAGTCCCAGTTCCCTCCCGACCAAATACTCCGTACCAATGTCGACGATGACGCGCAGTCAGGCAGCGATATACGCGGTCAACGTCTGACGAAATTCATCCTCCCGCCGTTTAGATGCCTTCCTGAAAGCTAGTAGTTGAAAGGATATCCGGAGTTCTCGTAGTCGCATCTCAGGCCGAATAGAGGTCGAGCAGCGTGCCTGCACCATATTGACGACGTTATTGAGGACCGCATCGCAAATTTGCCGGCTATGTTTTATTGGACCGGAGCTGTCGCTCTCTTCGTCATCAGTCTCCTCGTAGCCGTCACGAAGGTGTAGCACAAAGGTCGAAAGGCGGGGAAGGAACATGAGATTCAATGCGAGGAAATCGAGAAGGTCGATGCTGTGCTGGGACTTGGATGGCTCGAAGACGAGCCGACGAACGTTGGGGCATGATTTCATTAAGTCCTGCGCGCATGGAAGGGAGTCTCCCCATTTTCCTGTTAAAGTGAGCTCTTGTAGCGCTTCGAATTGTTCAAAAACGAGCGGTCTATCGAAAGCATGATATTCGTAGCCGACGTCATCGTCGGATCGAATCGTAAGAGTCTTCATGGCAGGGAATCGGTGCAGCTGGAGAACACTCGGTGCGACCAACGCCGTCTTTGTAGCCTGTGCGCCTGGATATCGATACCTAGGATGCTGGACCCACCCTGCATCGATGAATAGATCTTGGAGAGTCGCATGCACAGAGGGTTTGTCGCCTGTTGCCATCATGTCGAATTCTTCGTCGCGTAGGTCAGAGAAAAGATGAAAAACGCCATTTCGAAGTTGGAAGCAACCCCTGAGTAGATGTTGAAATTGATCGAGGGAGAGGCGCTCAAGAATAACGAGGCTCGTCAACTGCGACCAAGGGTACTGTGTCACGAGGTCGGAGTTAGTTCTCATGCATATGTTGTGGTCGATGGCCAGCTCATGGATGGTCGGATGGGTGGCTAGATCTTTGTGTGCATCCGTGGCTGAACCAGAAGACCAGTGGGGAAAGTATTTGACAACAAAAGATTCGAGCTTGAAATCGCTTGAAAAGTAGGAATCCGAATGCGGTGTCGCGAGGCCGAGGCGGCGCATAGGTGATATAGAGAAGACTGAATGCGAAATCTGGCCGATGGTTGTTCGTGTCGAATGTGATGTGGAGAAACAAGTCCAAAGGGTGATTTCCTGCGTGCTTCGACCATTCACGAATGCGTAGAAGAGCGACCTGGAGTTTAGCAGGTTTCCTAATAGTGACGTATAGACACGCCCACATCTTGGAAGATGAAAGGACAGCATTCCGCCAAACAGAGGACACGAGAAAGAGACAACGGTGCTTGTTTGACTGTCACGGTCGGTTGGGATGGAAGGCTGAACAACGTGATCTCGTGCAGGATATCCTCGGGAATATGTCGAAAAGGCGGTAAAACCGTATCCAACGTTTGGACCCTGTTCCTACAGAGAACAGACTTCCGGGCAAGCTCAATCCTCCGCTTTTCGAGAGACTTCAGCTCGTCGTTGATCGCCTGAATCTCGTCACTGGACTGTGTGCGCAGCTTCTTCACTATTTCAAAATCCGATGGGCTAACGGGTTGGTTGTGCTTCAGAGCAAGACCGACTTGAGAGGGGTAGAAATCGTCTCCAGTGGACACCGTTTGACCTGGCTGCAATACATAGATGAAGATAGGATCCCGGATCCGGACACACTGGTGTGGGAACCGACTTTAGGTGCGGTCAAAAAGGCGTGATAGGGGTGTTACAGCTGTTTCGGAAAACCTTGTCCATCGCAACTTCTTTTTTTTTGAGCCGCGAGACATCATGTGAGCCTGGGGAGCTTTCGTGGGAGCCATCAACACTACCGTATTTAGACAACAGAGATTCAAGCTGGCCATTTGAGCATCTACGGGACGTCCTGGCACTTGAAATCTGGGCGCGTTATAGCTGAGGAGCTCTTCTGAGAGCATGTGCCAAATTTGAGGTGAAACAGTATATTTTTGGGTCCAAGCGTGCCACCCAACCTCTTCCTCAGGCGCGGAAACACGCTGTGGGAAGTTCAGGCTCCGAACGCCCACGGGACGAGCCCCACCAGGTAGACGCAACATTGGGCGTCGACAATAACCCTATCTGTAAAGTTTAAATGACGATATTTGGGCCAGGAGGCAGGGAATCGCTCAACAATGCTCGCGCGGCTCACGGAGCTCGTCATTGATGCGTAGCCCAAAACGGCAGCCATCAGCACATGACCGGTCGCAGCCCAAAAAAATAAAAAAAGTGATAGACAAGGTTTTCCGAAACAGCTGTAAACTCTATATGCACCATTTTTTGTGTCAATAAAGTTCAAATAAAGTTACAATAAAATCTTCCTTTCCCATGCTCATAGTTTTCCGAAAATTGTCACCTTTGAGGTAATTAGTAATGATTAAATTTACCTGCCTTTTTGTTGCTCGGAAAAGACAATAACAGCGTGGAATTTGGGACGACAAAAAGGATTGACATAAAGGACTCGGGGATACTATAAAAGAAAAGCCCGAGCCCTTTATATCAACACTTTATGTTCGTCTATAATTGTTAGGTAATTGATGCCTTTAATTGTGAACAATATTTGATATAATGGGTTCGGGCTTTCCTTTTATAGTATCCCCGAGTCCTTTATGTCAATCCTTTTTGTCGTCCCAAATTCCACGCTGTTATTGTCTTTTCCGAGCAACAAAAAGGCAGGTAAATTTAATCATTACTAATTACCTCAAAGGTGACAATGTTCGGAAAACTATGAGCATGGGAAAGGAAGATTTTATTGTAACTTTATTTGAACTTTATTGACACAAAAAATGGTGCATATAAAGTTTAACACCCCTATCACGCCTTTTTGACCGCACATAAAGTCGGTTCCCACACCAGTGACACGTTATATAAGCTACGCACCTTTGAGGCTCCCTTTTTCTGATCAGGTTTTCGAGATGTCAACATGATTTGAGAATATCAAAGACACTGCTTGTCGTTGTAGTGGATATGAGTGGGATATGGCAATGGGCATTGGTTGAAATTGTCAATTGAATGAATACAGTAATTCACTGGCTTCTTGTACACCCCCGCCCAGTTGTACACAGTGACTTTTTGAGTGATAGGACTATGATCGGGTATGTTTCTTGAATCCTGTGGGTGAATATATGGTTGGATCACCATTTGCAACCTTTGTGGGAGAGGCGGCACTGCTTCCGCTGACAGGGATGGGAAAACATTCCAAAAGCGGAAATTGGGCAAAAAAATCGACCATCCTTCGTGACTCTTCCATGACACTAGAGACCAACTTTGAGAGTAAAAGATGTCTGAATATCATGTTCTGACTGACTGAAATGCAAATTTTGGGTTGGGCTATCACCAAGAGAGCTCCAGGGCCTTAAGATCATCTGGAGGGGGGAAATTGGTCATCGGTGATGGGGAATGTCACACCGCATCATAAGTGTGACACACCCGTCATGCTGCACCTTGATCCCCCGTTTTCCTCAATTTCGAACACATAACTGCTTTTTCCACAAGCTCCTCAACACGCTTTATTACGGTCAACACTAAACTACCTTAATACACCCCCATGGCAAAGCACGCAGCCTCCGACGCGCTAAAAAAACGCCAAGAAGAAGAGGAAAAGGCAAGAGCTTACCGGATTGCTCACGCAATTTGGCTGGATGAGCAACAGAAGCCAAAAGACAAGCGCCTGTCTTACCGGGAGGTGGCTGAGGAGGCACGCAAGCAATGGCATGCCAAGACAGGCCACTGGCTGAAGCTGAATCACAACACTGTCCGTAATCACGCAACTGGCAAAACACGTCCTCGGGAGGAGACTAAATGGGATTCATCTCATTTGAGCGCTGTCGAAGAAGAAGAGGTTGTCAATTACCTCATCGAGACGGCAGCTCAGGGCTTCGGGCTGTCACATCGTCGTTTGAAGGAGCACGTCATAGAGCTCTGCCGAGCGCATTATGGCACCTCCTTTCCTGGTCTTGGGAAGCACTGGTCCCACCGCTTTGTTGAGCGGCATCACGAACGCCTTCACGTATACCGGACTCGGCCACTCCATGATGTCCGAGGGAAAGCTGCGAACCCAGAAAACCATAAGGCCTGGTGTGATCTCGTTGAGAACGTCCAGCTGCATGGAGATGAGGGCAACGCAATTGCACCTGAGAACACGTACGCGCTGGATGAGGCAGGTTTTCAGGCTAACGGTGATGAGGGAGAAGAGCGGGTGATTGGCGGAGTGGGCAAGAACGTCCAGTACCAGCAGCAAGCTGGAACGAGGGAGACAACAACTGTCATTGTCAATATCTGCGTGGATGGGACTGCCATACCTCCAGCCGTTTTGTTTTCTGGAAAGGGCTTTGCGGTTCGGTGGAAGCAAGATAACCCTGCAGAAGCAATGTGAGTAATGATAACCTTTTGGATCATATCATGTACTTACTGCGACAAGGCTGGGATACTCGAAGAAGGGCTGGACGGATAACGAGATCGGCATCGAGTACGCAAAGCACTTTGAGCGAATGACTCGTGAGAAGGCGGGTGGCAGGTGGCGAGTCCTCTACGTCGACGGACATGGTTCACATGTCACTCACGGGTTCTTGATGTTCTGCAAGGCGCATAAGATCCATGTCTTGTGCTATCCTGCCCATACAACTCACATTTACCAAGGTCTGGATGTCGTGATATTCAGCCCGATGAAGCAAAGGTTCGGTGAGAACCGTGACAAACTCTTTCGAGAGACGGGCCAGGAGATCTCAAAAGAGAACTTCCTGAAGGTTTATGGTGACACCCATCTTGCGATACTACAACCGGAGTTAATCAAGAAGGCGTTCTTGAAGACAGGAATCATACCTTTTAACCGCGACATGATCTCCGCCGATAAGCTCGCTCCCAGCCACGACACCTCGTTTCGGCATTACACCCCAGTCGAGCCACCAGCTGCTGTCCGCATCATGACGGAGCTGATCATTGACACCCTCCAGCCTATCTTCATCACGTCGTCTCCAAACAATGATTCGGATACAGATTCCGAAGGTGAGGATGAGGGAGCCAGTGGGGATGCGGTTGACGAGAGAGGTGATGAGGAATATGAAGCGGGTGAAGAGGAGGAAGAAGCGGTGGCGGATGGAGAGCAGGACAAGGAGGTGGAGGATGGTGCTGATGAGGAGGTAGATGATGTTGAGGAGGGGGGTGGTGAGGCTGGTCATGAAGCGGGTGAGGAGGGAGAAGGGGAGGAACAAGAACCTGTAAATGATGAACCTGCCCACCCACGGCTTGACACCTTTCCCATCCAAGCCGCCCTCGAAGAACTTGCCAACTCTGATTGCGGCTTTCTCTTCTCACAAACGCCTATCCCATCGTCTTCTAATCCACCCGATCTGCCGAATGTTCTCATCTCGCCTATGAAACGTCGCATTACCAAACCGTCAATGTCAAGGCAAGATGTCACATACCTCACAACAAAGACGACATCCACACCCGACGAGGACGCCATGCAGGAGGCTCTCATTGCGAAAGCAGCGGCAGCAGATTACTACAAGGAGCAGGCGATCCGTATGCAATCCATGCTCGTGTTGCAGCGATTATACTGCAACAAACTGTGTCGTCAGCTTCAAGCGAAGGAAGGAAAGGCAGAGAGGAAGAAGAAGGGGCGAGGAGGTATTCTACAAGACGGCTTACCTCGTTTGATGACACATTCCGCCGTGATTCGAGCCGTCAAGGAGCACGAGGATGCGAAGGTGAAGGAGGCGCGCGACAAGGAGGAGAGGGCTGCCCAGCAGCTTGAATACGAGGAGCGGATGGCAGCGTGGCAGGCACATGAGGATGGTCGGGAGGCTAGGAATGCGGCACTGTATCGCCAGTTTCAGGAGGATGCAAACAAGTGGACAGCAGCGCGAGTAGCAGCGAAGGAGGCGGGCCGCAAGCTGAAGGTTTGGGACAAAGCCCATCCAAAGCCTTTGCGTTCGAATTACAAGGAGACCCGGGTAAAACCCCCAACCAAGAAGGCGCGGAAAGATCCTGAGGAGGATCCTGAGGAGGATGTGGGTGGCGACGGTACGATAGACGAAGAATAGAACAAGTGTTTATCGATTGATCGCATCGGACCGAAGATAACTGAGCTGCGTGACACAGCCACCGGCAACGGCGTGACACTGTACAACTGCCCGGTTTTGCCCAAAAAGGGTACCCCGGCACGGATTTACTGACAGCGTGTCCATTTCTCACCCGACGGCGTTCAAATCGCACACCGACCTAGTTTCGACATATAGGCAGCTCATATATACAGAAATGAACAAGAGTTTCATCTATGACGAACAGTAGAGGGCATTTTCATTTTTGCTGTACAAGAAGGCAGTGAATTACTGTATCCTACGATATTGTGGCACGTGATTAAGCTTCGGCCCGGGTGAACTAAGATTGACAAGATCAAAAAATAAATTCATCTGGAATTGCAATAAGATTGCCCATCTACCTTACTCCGCGCTCACCATGTTCTTAACTCCATTGAACACCTGATTGTCTGCCAACGTTCGGCGCGATTTCTGCTGAGCGGTTATACCTGGTACTCCTTCGTTACAAACTCAAAGTCGAGGCACTCATTGTACTCTAAGACCATCTAACGAGGATGGCGACAGGTACTGGGGAGGAGGACGCGTCGATCTCGAAGTACATCGCTGCAGGATCGCAACCACCCCCTTCGAATCATCTCTATGAGACCAGAGCAACACCATACGGTGGGCGTGGTGCCTTCGCTCGTGGACCGATCGCGAAAAATACTGACATCCTTTCCTGTGCGGGGCCCTACGCAAGCGTCATCTTCCGGCCGTTCAAGAAGGAGGTGTGCGCATGGTGCTTCGCCTACGCATTCGAGAGTGGGAAGAGCAAATGGTCTATCAAGCTCAGTGTAGACAACGCCGGAGCGTGGTTTTGCTCCGAACACTGCGAAGAGCTTTGGATCAAAGAACACGAGCTTGTGCAGGGCGAGGGCGTGCAGTGGTGGTTAGAGATAAATGGAGCCTTTGAGAGGCTTATCGCACAGATGAGCCAGTCTGGCACGAAAGGGACGAGGAAGAGCAGCCGAGTGGTCGGGGAGAGCACATCGACGCGTTTTGCTCACTTGGAAGACTTGAAATCAAAGGAGGTAACGCAAGAGCTCGTCGACAAGGCCTGGTCGATTGCAGAAAAGACGCTTTCGGACAAGGGAACGGCTATCCAATTCACACAACCTTTAAACAACCTCGAGCTCGACACTGCACGCTACCTACTTGATGGTCTACTTCACAAGATTCTCGAAGATGCCCGCCCTGACGCGACGCGTGCTCTTTCTACCCTATCCTCCATCGCGATAGGTGCAGGTCGATGGGCCGATTACCTCGAGCTACAGGACAACGAAGTGCCGCATATATGCTCGAAACCTTACGTGCTTGCGTCGCATGTCCGCATATATTGCTTCCTCAGGCAGCTTTTCCCGCTCCTGGCCGGCTCTAAAGGCATGCCCTCCGGACCGAGTGACCTTCTGAGGCGTTATCTGACGTCGTCCACGACCGTTCGCGCGCTGCTGCAGCGCGATCCCGGGAACGTCTTTGGGATCTGGGACATGGCTCCTGAGGCTGAGGAAAGCGAGATGTTGGGCTGGGGTGCCTATGTATTTGGCTCCTACTTCAACCACGGTGTGCTTCCTTCTTCAATTCCATGGAACCTTGTTCTGATGCGCCTTTCAATTGAATCAATGTTAGACTGCGATCCCAACATCACCAAGCGCCGAGAAGGACGAGCAGTTGTGTTCTACACGATTCGGGATGTCTGCGCTGATGAGGAGCTTTGCATCAGTTATGTAGATGACGCTCCTGTCGGAGAGAGGATCGCGCATTTGGAGCGGGATTGGTTCTTCTCTTGCCGCTGCGCAAAGTGTATACAGGACCTGGCCAACGTGTCTTAGCAATTGCCAAGATGTTTTACTAGTATGGATACTCCTTCCTCTTTAAGTGGCCAAGTGCGAGCTAAAGCGCTAACCAACTGTCTGACTCGACTCTTGATTATGATCAAACCTCAGATGGGTGCTTAGCAGGAACTCCCACGAAATCCTCGCTGGGATTCATCGATATTTATCTTCGCTTTTAATCTCGAGGAATCTTCAACGCAATCAAGCATAGAAGAGTCAAGAAGCGGGGCCAGAATAACTGTTGTATCTTGCCGTTCCACGTAGTGATCCCAGAAATGCCGTAGAGAACACGCTTGACTTCAACATTCGAGTCATAATTGTCTTTCTCGCATTGGCCAGTGACTCTGATAGCGACGCGTGCAGGATCGGCATTGCTGCCGGTCGTGGCACAGCGTGGGACTCCGAAGAGAGCGCCAGAAATGGAATGCTCAGAACGTATAATGTCCACAACTCGAGTTGATATAAGATCTGGGACGCAGCAAACGCTAGGGCCATGCAGTGCTCTTGATACTTCTCGACGTTGTCGAACCCAGAATCACCTCCACAGGTCCTAAATACCCTTCGATTCTAGAACTGACGCAGTAACGCGCTCCAACACCACGACGTGGTGTCGCTATGAAGTTCTACAACCCCTTCAACCCCCCCCCAGCGCCACCCGGCTTCGGAGCAGGCAAGATCCTCCCTGAAAAAACAGCATCGTAAGCCATTTTTTCAACAGTCTTGAAACTACGCTTTTGAACACAGCACAAGGTGGCCTTCTCGATTGTTTTTGCAATGGCTCGGCGCTTTTTTGGATGTCGGATATTCGCGACCGTTGATGTCAGACGGTAAGCTTTTTTTCGGTATTCCCTGTTGTGGAATGTGGTATCGAGCTATGCATGGCTAGACTTCTGGGAACTGCCTGAACATCGGCATACAGCAGCCATAACCAACGAGGTGGAAGCCAACTTCTATGCTCGATGTCCGCCAGAAAAGAGGCCTCTGTTCATGCGGGACTCCAAGTCAGAAGAGGGCGGGAAAGCGTTTTCTGAACCCGAAAAGGGAAAGGACATCGAAGGCACTCCTGCTACCACTGGTCAGCAACCAATTTACGACGAGTCACTGTTCAAGGCCTTGCACAAGACCTTCTTCCGGCGTATTTGGAGTTCTGCGTTTCTACTGCTTGCTTCTGGTACGGTCTCGCGTTTGTGCGGCTCAGCAACACTCACCTACACTTCGTCATTCAAAGAAACCCTTAGGACAACTACCCCGCTTCTGAACAAGGTGTTCATTACCTGGTTGTCGGAATCGTATTTCTACGCTCGTTTGTCGGATGCTGACCGCGACGCGGCCGCATCTCTGGGCTTTTTCCAGCCTAGAGGCGTTGGGTATGGTATTGGACTAGCGTTCGCTCTTTTCGCGATGCAAGGTATATCTTTCACGTTTGGAACCTCACCAGGCACTCATGGTTTTCTCGGCGCAGAATCTGCTAGTCTGGTGGGTTCAAAATTCTCGCCGTGACCACCTAAAGATCCACGCTCATGCGCCACGTCATTCAAGATGGGCAATCACTTTAGCCTCAGTAAGTTAAACCCTCCCCTCTTTGCCTTGTCTCAACTTGCGGCTGTTGTTCCTAGTCAGCATGACGACAGGTTTATATGTGCGAACCGGGGTATGGAATTCGTCCTTCGATGGCTGAGCTCCCGTGACGAATACCGGCGTCATTCTAGGTCGTTGGGAACATCTTCCGAAAGTCTCTCCGTCTGTCTGGAAAAGCTCGTGCTGAGCACAGCGTTGGGCAAATCACGACTATGATCTCAACCGACGCGACTCATTTGGACATGTTCTCCGCTTTTGCTCATCAGTCCGTCTTCTCTTTCCGTTTTCCACATTGCACATTGGTGTTGATCGTTTTTTCCTAGTCTCTGGTCTGCCCCGATACAGGTAAGATTTGTCGTGTCTCTCCTGTCGCGCGAGAGCTTACTGTTCCCATAGGTTACGCTGGGTATCGGACTTCTCATAGGAAACGTAAGTCATCCTCCATCCGTATAACCTATATTTTACACGGTTAACAGCTCGGTTACTCTGCGCTTGTCGGCCTTGGGGTAGTCTTCTTTGCGCCGAGGTAGTTGAATCACCTTTCTCACCGCGTTCTAGGTCATTATCGTGACTTTGCCCATCCAAACGGTGCTGATCCTCATTATGATGCGGCAAACGAAAAAGGGCGTGAAAATCAAGGACAAACGTGTACGACTGACAACAGAAGTCCTGCAAGGGATTCGTCTCATTAAAGTGTACGGCTGGGAAGCCTTCTATACCCAACAGATCACGAAATACCGCGAAGGAGAAATCAAGACAATCAGAGCTGTGTCGTCAGTACATTGTCCTTGCCTCGATCAAAATCGTGCTGATGAGTATTGAAATACAGAGTTGTTACTGCACTGCTTGTTGCACTGTTCACTTTCGTGCCAATATTGGCGACCGTCCTCTCGTTTGTGAGTGTTTTCGCGTCTTCCCTCTTATTCAGGAGCATCTGACAGCCTTCTAGATCACCTATGCCCTCACTGGACACGATCTCAACGTCGCCATCATCTTCACTTCTTTGCAGCTCTTCAATGTAAGTTGCTTCTCCCCGACACTGGACATGTCTTTTGACTCTTGATCTATGTAGGTCATCCGTATCCCAATGATCATCTTCCCGTTCGTCCTCTCGAGCCTCGCCGAATTTATGATCTCGACCAAGCGTATATCCACTTTCCTCCTGGCTGAAGAACTTGGGGATCCGTACCGCATCGAACCTTCCAATGGCCTGGCAGTACAGGTCGACGGCGACTTCGAATGGGAGACTGTTCTTGGTCTGGAGAAGAAACCTGACAACAATAAGGAGTCGAAAGACAAAGACAAGGAGGTAGACGATAAGAAGAAGACGAAGGAGAAGAGCAATTCTGGCTGGTGGAAGTGGAAGAAAGACACAGAGAATCACCAGATCCTCCCTGTCGTGGACGAGAAAGACAAATCGTCGACTGACCTCGAGTCTGAACCGGAGGAAAAACCTTTCGGATTGAAAGATCTGCACCTTGAGATCCCAAAAGGCTCATTCGTCGCTATCGTCGGCCGTGTTGGTTGCGGAAAGGTGTGGTGCCTTCTATTGTTCTGATGACATTCTGCAACGTTATTCAATCGACTTGCGCAGAGCTCGATACTCCAAGCCCTGATCGGAGAAATGAAGCGTACAAGAGGAAACGTGAATACCCTGTCTAATCCGGCCGCTAAGGACTTCCGGCTGAAACTCGAGGTTCTAGGTCGTTTTCGGTGGATCTGTCGCATATGTTCCTCAAGCTCCCTGGATCAAGAATGCGACCCTGCGAGACAACATATTGTTCGGCGAAACGGACGACGTCGAGAGGTTCAATCATTATAACCTCGTTATCATTCCTACAATCTGACCACTGAGTAGATTCCAACAAGTTATTCACGCTTGTAGCTTGGAACATGATCTGAGTATTCTGCCTCAAGCCGATCGAACACAGATCGGCGAGAAGGGTATTAACCTAAGTGGTGAGATCTTTGTTTGTCCTCCACCGTTCAAAGGCCATCCTGATGTATGTCACTGTGTGCATTAGGTGGTCAAAAGGTTACTTCACTCATGCTCGTTGTTCGAATATCACCATTGTAACTTCTTGTTTATAGGCCCGTATTTCCTTGGCACGCGCCGCATACTCTCAGCGCGAGATCGTCCTCCTTGATGATCCTCTCTCAGCGGTAGATGCCTACGTCGGCAAAAACATCCTAGAGAACTGTATCCTCGCCGGCCCTTTGTCTAAGCGTACACGCATTCTGGTCACCCATGCCCTTCATGTCCTCGATAAAACGGATCACATATATGTTATGGACAATGGCAAGATTATCGAGCAAGGGACCTACTCAGTGAGTACCTCATTTAGCTGGTCGCTGTGCTTATGCGATGACCAATCTCGTGTAGAGCCTGGCAGCCAACAGCGCTGTGTTCTCGCGCCTGATTGAAGATTACGGGAAGACAGACCCCAGCCGTCGTAGTTCTTCCACAAAAGGTGGCCAAATCGGCCAAGGCAAGACGAGCGGAGATGTCAGCGATGTCGACGATACGTTAATGCAGCTAGAGGAACGGCTCACTGGAGCTGTCTCTTGGAAAGTCTACACGAACTATCTGCGCAAAGCCGGAGGGCTCGCATGGGCCCCGATTATCCTTTCGCTTCTTGTCATTAACGAAGCAGCGCAAGGTACCAAGTCTGCTTCACTTCCATCGGAGTGATCGCTGACGAATTTATCAGTTGGGACCACCTTATTCCTTGGGTTTTGGAGTGGAAACACCATTGCTCATTTTACACAAGGTCGTTACATGGCAGTCTACGCTGGCATTGGTTCGTACTCTACCTTAAATTCTGGATGCTGCTTTACTCACGACTTCCCTAGGCTCGGCGCTCGCGATGTTTACTTTTTGCCTGACCTATGCATTTGTGTGAGCATTTGGGTTTCATTAAGCAAGGGCTTCCAATTGATGGGTTTTGGAAGCATCATGGGGTTGAGCGCCAGTTTGAATCTCTATAAATCCGCGCTTGCTGGTGTGCTCGACTCCCCCGTCTCTTTCTTCGACACGACCCCAATTGGTGGATAATACCATTCCTTCAGATCTAGTTCAAATTACTGATTCTCCGTCAGGTCGTATCCTATCACGGCTCTCCAAAGATCAAGACACTATTGACAATGAGCTGCCCCTCATCTTTATGCAGGTATGGAGTCCGATGTTCTGCTGCCTTTCCCAACCTAATCGTATCCAGTTTCTTCTGACTCTATCTTCGGTCTTCGGCACGATAGGCCTCGTCTTCTACACGTTCCCCTACCTGGGAATTATTTTTATCCCGCTGACAACGTTGTACTACTGGGCATCCATGTATTACCGTCGCTCTTCGGTGGAGACTAAGCGTCTGGACTCTCTTCTCCGGTCCGTGTTATATGGTTCTTACTCGGGTATGTGGATCACTGTGGGCGTCTGGCAGAGCTCATATGGCACCTGCTTCAGAGACTTTAACTGGGTTGTCCACCATCCGTGCCTATCGTATGCAGCCCAGGTCCATCGAGGCCGCTGACCGAGGATTAGACGGGCAGAATAGAGCCTATCTCATGACGGTGGTTATGCAAAGATGGCTTGCTATCCGCTTGGACATGTTTGGAAATATCCTTATTCTTGGAATCGGAATCTTTGGAGCTACATTCAGGACTTCCGTCAACCCGGCCAGAGTCGGTGTCGTTCTCACCTATACGCTCGGTGGTAAGTTCTCGTGGCTTCGCCATTGGTCTGAGACTGACGCCCGTTGTAGTCACTCAGATATTCTGTCAGTGTTTTCTCTTCCATTTGAACTTTTTGGCTAATTGTTCCTGTAGCCGAGATGATAAACTTATTCGCTCAGACTGAACAGAACATGAACGCCGTGGAGCGGGTACTCCACTACGCAGAGCTGCCATCGGAGGGTGACGAGTCGAAGACCGAGCCTCCGGCTTCATGGCCGCATCAAGGCGCGATCAAGTTTAGCAACGTCAAGCTTACCTATCGCGAAGGTCTCCCACTTGTCCTGAAGGGAATCGACTTCGACGTCAGGCCAGGAGAAAAGGTGCCCTTCTAAACGCTCCGTTTATCTTGAGCCTTTAGACTTACGCTTTAGTACGTAGATTGGCATCGTGGGACGTACGGGTTCAGGAAAGAGTTCCCTCATCCAAGCCCTCTTCCGGTAAGCTCTCGTGCCCTCCGTCAATTTTCTGTCAATTGAATCCATTGAATAGCACCGTCGAACTTCGCGAAGGCAAGATTGAGGTGGACGGATACGATATTTCCCAGCTCAGCCTTCATTTCTTGAGAACCCGGCTCGCGTTCGTCCCCCAGGACACCACTCTCTTCCTCGGGACCCTGCGAGACAATCTGTATGAATTCAGTATCCGTCTGGCCGCCCAGGCTTACATTTCTTTCTCAGGGACCCTCAACGACTCCGGACGGACGCCGAACTGATTTCTGTCCTTCAGCGAGCGTGGCTTCTTCCCAAGGAGGAACCAGTTGATCCTGCCATCGAGGCCAAGTTCGGTTTGGATTCGATCGTAGGCGATGAAGGTCAGTTGAACTAAGCGAATTTGTGCATTTCATTTGCGTTGACAGAAACGAACAGGGTCCAATTACAGTGCCGGAGAGAAGCAACTCCTCGCGTTGTCTCGTGCTTTAGTCAAGAACAGCCGCATCATCATTCTGGTAAGCGCCCTATGTCTTGAGATCCATTGACTTGCGATTGACAAGGCACCTTTTTCAGGACGAAGCAACAAGTAATGTAGACGCTGAGACGGATTCCAAGGTCCAACGTACCATTCAGACCGAGTTTGCTTCCTCCACGTTACTTTGCATCGCCCACAGGCTCAACACCATCGGTAGGCTGCCTGGATGCTTTCTTTTTCTCCCCTTCGCTAACAAACAACTAATAGCACATTATGACCGAATCCTTGTCATGAACGATGGCTTGGTTGCGGAATTCGACACTGCGCTGAACCTGTTCGATAGACCCGACTCGATCTTCCGGTCTCTCTGTAACGAGGCGAACCTCGCTCGAGCGGACATCATGAAATTGCGCGCCGAACATACGACGAAGATCTGATTTCTCATTGTCTTCCTTGACTTTCCTATCTCTCGGACCCGCAGTAACGACCGTGATGACCATAACCCCCATTCCTGAAAGCCCACTGATATCCCGCTCACTATACATACCCCACTCAGGCACGCTTAGTACAAATATTCTGGCCCTTTCATGGTGCCCAGTGCCACTGCTCTCATCTAATAGACCTGCAAACAATTCCACCCCTGTCGATATTTGGTCTAACTTTCAGCGGATGGAGACGATGCCATACCTGACGCTCCGCAGACGATATACCCCTTGGTATGCAATGGTGAGCACGGTACGACGGGTCCAAAGTTGGATATTTGAAACAAGGTCGATATACTCCAGGGAAGAAGCAGAAGAAAAGCAAGATGTATTCTACAAATGTACCTCCAGGAAACTACTGAGAAGCAGACAAGAGCGCTGGTTATAGGATAGGCATGCGGACGCAACGTTGTGCTTTACGTTTGGGTCTAGAAGTGGAAGGTCTTGAAGCCTTGAGGCTGGAAGAAGTGCGCGTGGACTTGGTCGATATGTTCTTCGGCCGACATGTGATGGCTCTTGATTCGTGCACCTTGAACTGGGGCACGAAATGGTTTGTTTTCCGCGGAAGATATACCAGCCTGCGAGTCCTCGCGAGTGCTCGAATGCATCTCTGTAATAACCGCAGGTTCGCAAACGATTTCATGATACATCAACATTAAGCTCTTCAGTTCCCTCTTTCTCGTATCTTCTGGTCAGTTCTTCCGCTGCTGCAGGAGATAGTGAAGAAACTTCCTTATGAAGTGGGCAAGCGGGAGTACTTCCTGGTCGCGGTTCTCGCCAAAAAACAGTGGACTGGATGAATGATTACGACCTCCACCTCCACCCACTCTGACCATAAATAATACTCTAATCCACCTCTATTCCGTCTGACTGCCCATCTCGACATATTACCCCACCTACCGGAGGAGTGGGTCAGCTTTTGATGCTTCGAAGTTGAGCAAGTCTATGGGTGGATGGGATCAAATCTTGAAGCGCCCATGGGAGGACCGTGCAAAAGCCGAGAGGTGATACAACAGTATACCCTGTGCTGGCACAGAAGGGGGCAACGTGTTCCCCTCATGGATCACGTTAACGTTAAGATAGGATGCTGTTGTTTTTTAGTATCACAAATGCGCAAGCCACCGATCGCTGGCCTCCCCGCGTTCAGATGCGTTGAGTTCGAAATTAACCTTCCCTTCCTTCAAACTCTATATCTTCAAGCGCATGTCGCTTCGGAGTAGGCCCGGATGGCAGAGAGGGGATCCGGGAAATGAAGTGCGCAATGAGCGTGTGCTATCTCTCGAACACTTGTTATGAACGTCATTTCTGCGTCGTCGCTGAGATGAATACAGCGTGTTCGAATGGGCGGAAGGTCAAGGCAGCAGGGGTATCCTACAGAAATAGATGGCGTCAGGAAGGAAGGAATACTTACATCCGAGCTCATATCGAAGCGAGGAGTGCGCAATACCTGCCAATCCAATCACTTTTATTCTCATCTGGGAGGATAGATCAGCAGGATGTTGCCCTTTTTCGCCATGGCTCGAAGCACGGAAGACACGGAAAAAATGTGGGCGAACTTCTGAAGAGTTTCCCAAGCGGACGAGACCTGGCCACCCAATCGCCCATAGGTTTATGGAATAGAGCAGGATGAGAAATCCAGGGCTGAGGCATGTTTGAAATCTGGATTGACATTCCAAGGGAGGGAGATTTTGACTGGAAGGTCCAGCGGGAGGCAGAGATAGCGACGGATGCGTGCATCAGATAACCACGGTAGGTTGACAACGTTGGCACCCTCACTTCATCTTACCCAAAGTCGAGACACCCGTCGGAAGCCGCTGGGGATGCTGTATCTGCACATATGAAGTTCGAACGCTGGCATGGCCATAGGCTAAGTTTATCCTCGAATGATAAGCACAGGAGGTCGGAGGTGGGGACCACGGTGACCGTGCAAAGAGCAAATAGGATTCTGGGGCGAGGAATGAAAAGGCAGCGAAGGATGGGGTTAGGGTGTGGGACCCAGACATCCACGAGGCCCGGAATTTGAAGTCGGGGTGGTGAAGTTCGGGTGGACTTTGCTTGACCTCGGCATAAAGGGGTGCATTGGGAAGTCTTGTGGGCATGCACTCGCAGGACTCGATTCCGTCACTACATACAAATGCATCAGCCTAGAAAAGTGTGAATTCGAGGAAGAGACCTGACCTCGCCATTTGGTAGTCATCCGACCATGGACACCGAACGTCTGAATGTGTACGGCTGCAATTCTCGACAGCTCGAACACGATGAGGAGGCCTTTACTCCGCGCGTCCGCCTCCCGAGCCACACGCAGCTTCATCTTACCCAAGGCCTTCCTTCCAGCGTTCGTACTTTGAATAAATGGATCGTATTCGTATTCGTGGCGTTCCTTGATCGGCGGTATGGGAAGGCAAGAGTCAATTATATGAAAAGTCCAGAAGGGTATATAGCCTCGGAAAGACTGAAGGAATTGATTCGACATTGCGTTCAAGAATCAAGATCACAGACCTGGAAGGAATAAACAGCTTCGGCCTCCAAAGGAAGCCCACCTCAAAGGAAGTTTCCTCTGGTGCCAACAGTGATGCAAGCCGTTATGCAACGTGGTTTGCGCGCGTTAGTGCCTTTTCACGGCATGGTCTGCTTGTGTGTTAGTGAGCCCGACCGCGACTTCCCGCTAGGTGCGGCACCCCTGGGCGGAAGGACGGAGGTGAGAAACGAGCTGGTTTGGAGGTGTGCGGATAATTCTGAACCTGACAGGGAGGATATGGGTTAGTTGGTTTGTGGGATCATCCCAGACAGGAGCGCGCTGGCTCCACCGTTGAGCTATGGTGCATGGACCTTACACACAAATGGAGGGCGCATCATATACCGGCATAGAAAGTTGGCATTTACTCCAGGAGCGCGCGATAAACCTGGAAACACAGCTCTGACAGTTTGAAGGAGAAGCAGATGATAGGAATGGTATAACATAAGGAACGCACTGCATGGTTGCAGACGTAATTACTTTTGATACAGACAGAAAAGCGAGCTGGATATCCAAGACCGACGACGAACTGCGGCACTGAACCCTCGGACACCCCTCCGATATAAGTTAGGGTCCTCCAACACCAATGAAACCCCTACACCCTCAACCGGCTACATGAGCCGCGACGGAAAGACCTCTGTCCACTGACGTGTATAACAGGTGTGACGAGGTTGTTGTTTACTTCGTGAAAGCGCGGATGACCTTGGCGGAGATATGAAGGAAGAAAATCGAGCCAATGAACGACAGCGACAGAACGAGGACAATGAAGGGGTCTCTGTGTTGCAAAAGATCATAAGTACAGACCACGTAGAGATTGAGAGTGCCACGTACACTCGAAGTCCTGGGGAGTCATCCGTGTAGAGCTTCAGCATGGTGTTTGAGGAGCCGCCAGCGCCAGCTGCGCGAGTCGAATTAGGTCGAGACACCTGCGAGGCTCCCGCCGCACGTCGTCTGTCATCGAGCACCCAAGAATCAACACGATTTCCATGAAATATAAACTGTCCTATGCACCGAATCTGAGCACCAGGCGGTTTGGCTACCGCCGAAGAACCACGACCGGGACTGGGGCGAGAAGAATCAGAGTCAGACTGTAAACAGCAGAGCAGGTATTAGCTTCGAAACTGGGCATTCTGAATGCATATACTGACCATGACGGCGTGAAAGAGGGTGAGGGACTGGTAGGAGGCTGAGATTTGTTTTAGAGTGCGCTGGCATTTCGAAACTGCAACGTAGTTGGATGATCGTGGGAATATTTTGAGAGGCTCGTGACTGACACGTTGGACGCTTTTGGAAATGCCCCTATCTGTGAATGAGCGTCGCGCTTTCGCTGGAAAGGCGAGAAAATGTATACGACAAATTTTACTGACGGGGAAGGATAAATTTCTCTATGAGAGGTCGGTGAACTTCCGGGTAGTCTCCAATGCAAAGTATGTTCTTATTCATTGCAGTTAGCCGTGATAGCACTCTTATATATATACCGAAATTGCCTCACAAATTTCCAGAAGATAAGTTCAGATAGCAAACCTTTCTCACGTTAGGTAGGCCGAAGTCTTCTTTTCCTTCTTTCTCGTTAAGTCTTAGGATTTGAAAGAGTAACAGCACCCCAAAATTCACAGGCAAATCAGTTCTGTGCTGTTCTACGTGTAAGTCGAGCCTGGCGCATGGAGACCTCGGGCACGCTATTCTTGTCGTCCTCGAGGCTGAGTCTAGAAGACTAACTGACGAGTGAATATGCTCGAGTTACAAATGTCACTCGGACACGAGTGCGCGAAATCCACAATTCATTGAAGGGTTATAGAGCTATAGAGTCCTCAAGAAACGCCACCGGGGTGCGATCTCAACGTCGACAAACGTTTTCTGAACAATGAAGTCCTAACTGGTCGAAAGGCAACGATGAGAACAGAAGAAGCAATGAAATGTCCATCAGAAATTGTTCTGTCTTCGTCAAGTCAATCGTGGTCCTGCAATATGGCGTCACAAAACGACCCAAGGGACAATGGTCCAGGAACCCGCCGGACCGCAGGGTTCATCTGGAGAACCGGTTTGATGAAGGACACGCCTTAAAGAGAAGGCTTCGCCCGTTTCGTTGCCCCGATTTTAAGCTCAAGAGAACGCGCCACGAGGATCGCAGGTATACGAATGCAGATATAGTCACGAATTCGCGCGGTGGGGGAATATGCGGAGTAGGCGGAGGCAGAAAGCCCACTTCGTTCAGAAAGCCTTTTAGAGATTTATTCGGCCTGTCAGCTGTTCACTCGTCTCTTCCGGCATACATTTTGAGTTCAACGGTCGATCTAATTTCATTTCCGAAGTGCAGAGCCTCGTCATGCATCAGATTTCTATTCGTTCCCGGAGAGTGGGAGATGGTGGGTCCAAGGATGATCATGAATAATGTGACTTGGACGCTGATAAGCATTCTTGGAGATTTCGGGCAGAAAGCTTCATTAGAAAGCGATTGTTTCCCCAGAGACAACACGTACATACCGCTGCAACGGTAGATCAGTGGTGAAGAGTTTGCGACGGTAGGGAGGTGGAATAGAGGACGCGGAAACTCCGGGCCGCGAATAGCGTGACTTTATGTAGATACATCACATGACTTGTGATCTTTTGTCACGCGGAAAGTGGTGGACATTTCTTTAGATTTCTTTTCGCTTTTTTGCAAGCTTTTTGAACTCTTACCTTCATCTTACTTTTGCATCCTTGCCTCCGTAAAAGCGTCTTCTCAACAGAAATTGTGAAAAGCGTGCTTGCTTTATCGTGATTCATGAAGACCACGAACAAAATTGACGGAATGACAAATGCATGTCCTGGAGACGGCTTTAAAAGTTCCTGGCAGAATCCCGCGACAATCTGTGTCAAGTGATACACCGAATTCCGATGCGCAGCTGGCGATGAGAGGCGACACTCCCTCAATCTGATGATATGTCTTCGCCGCCATCTCTGATTTCACACAGCTTTGTCGGAAGATATAGAATCTATGAACTCTATGACCCTTCCACAAGGTATAGAATCGGACGTGAGCTGTTACCCCACTGTCATAATTATTAATGAGCTAGAACGCTAATGTCATGAATCCATTCGCCGCTCTAGACGCCACAAGCCCCTCCAAGCACTGTAGCACACACTCGTCGAGATGAAGGCCCTCTGACGCTGACACCATCGGTCCTAAAACAAGTCCAGATTGCCTGAATAATCTCAGCGTCGCCCTGGCCACTCTTATCGTTCCGAACACGCCTGTTTTGTCAAATTGAGCACTCTGAACATGCTGCTTGTTGCCTAACACGAGGCCACACCGTTCCGTCCTCCGATGGTTCAAGTCACGCGGTCCCAGGTACTGCGACCTATGGAAACAAGCCGGCTCGAAGTCCTTCATTATGGCGAACGAACGAATCGGACGGAGGACCTCGAATCAGGTCAGAGTTGCCTCATTACAGGGTTCTCTAACCTTATCTCGCTGGAATGGTTTGCGTCAAATCCTCCGATTGACACGACATGTACACGCCGGAAGGGCTGCTTGGCTTAGTTCCTGTGGGTACATTCAAATCTACATTTCGATTTCCGGACACCTAATGCGGAGGGAATTAGCAAACTGCTTTCTGTGATGAGGAAGCTCAGGGTCCACCGGCCGGGACGTTCGATTTAGGTCCACTTGAATCTCCCTGCTCCCCGAGTAAGGTGCACTCTCGCTTAGCCGCCTCGTGCCTCCTCCTTACTTATATCATTCCCTCGTCTTTGATGTTACCTGAATGTCAGGACAATTGTCCACCCACCTCCATTGATATTGCTCACGCGCCACCCTTGGTCGCATCCGTTATAACCCATCCGTCCCATCGTCGAGCAACGTTTCTCTTTGTAACTCGCGTTGTTCGCTCTGCATTTCACGCCTGTTGATCGACGAACATGCTTAGTCTCGGCGCTGGTTCCAGTTGCGACATCTGCTTTGAGATATTCGGTCAGGACCTCAAAGCCCCCTGCTCAATAGCGTGCGGACATGTCTTTTGTATCGAGTGAGTGGATTATGGTGTCGTTCGACAAGCGCCACTGACGATCTTTGTGCTCGACTCCAAGGTGCATCGCCCAACTGACCACCCGCCTATGCCCCCTATGTCGGAGCGAATTCGACGAGGATTCATGCATCCGACTCCATATCGATATGGACAACACCCCAACACCTTCCGACCCGGCTTCCGGGAAATGCTCCCTTGACGACATCGCGAAGGCACGCAGGTTCGCAGAAGCCTACGCCAGCATTACAGACCAAGGAACTACGGAATCACGTCTACGGCAGGTCATTTTGGATGGTAGACAGTTTCTTGCGAGTCAACCGAAACACCTAGTGAGTCTGCACGTCACGAATTCGCCGCTTTGGTGCTTATCGAGCTTCCCACCAATAAGTTTAGGGACCTCCGGGTTACCCACAGGTTGATCGCGTACTTGTGCGAAGTCAAAGCTACCCTTCGCACTCAGAATCACGCAGTAGAGACGCTGAATGAACAGATCAAGCAGTTGACGACTGAGAAGGAGGAACTTACGAATCAACTGGCGGAACTGGAGTCGTTGAGGAATTATGAGAAGGAGACGGCTTTGGCAGTGGAAACGAGTCTACGCAGTCATTGCGACAATGCGGTGAAGCTCTACCATGGGATGATTGAGTGAGTTTGCCCTTCGTTTTACTTCATGCAAGAAAGAAGACTGATTTGGTGAAATAGGATGGTCGGTCCCTCAGCTGAGATCCCTTCGTTCTTTCACTTAAACCTTCCTCCCTGTAGTTCAACAAGGTAATGACGCAAAATGCTGAGCTCCTCAGCCAGAGCGCCGCTGCTTCAACCTCCGCCTCCACCTCGCTCACCGATCCACCTGCGTCCTCCATATTCAACATCCTGCCGCCGGTTGATGCACAGGCGCTCAAGGGAATCGCCATTCAAGATCCGAAATCGAGTTTCTTGATCTCTCCTCTTCCGCAGTTTACAGGTGCTCTGCCCTCCATCCTCGATGGTTTCACACCTCTACCAGAACTGACCGAAGATGCCGAGGAGGAAGACGAGAAGTCTGACGAAGAGGACGAAGTTTCGACCCCAGACAGTGCCCAGCATCAGCGGATCTTCCAAGCGGCGCAGGAGACGAAGCCTTCACCTTCTGCACGCACCTCAGCCGACACACTGCCTCCCCTTCGCTCGGAAATGAGCCTTCCCGAACCCTCTGGATTATCGCGGTCTGCTCCATACCTCGACCATCGTCGAGCCCGATCACGCTCCAACCCAAGTCCAATGGCAAGTTGCAGCCACAGTCCGTCGAGTTCTAACAATACCCCTCCAATGTCTTCACCGCAGCACCTATCGTCGTACCAGCCGTCATCAAGCCGCTACAGCTCCGGATCATCATCTCGCGATGCCCGCACTTCATCTCCCCGCGGGGTACAGGCGCAGGATAGCGAGGTTCTTCGCACTCGGCTGCACGACATCCTCCGCGCGACTCCTACGTCAACGTCTTTGCCGACTATGTCCTCAGGCCACTTCCCTGCCTCGCTCACGAATCGTGATCGTGGAGCCGAACCTCCCAGTCCACCCGATCGCCAACGCTCACGCGAGCGAGAGAGTCGCGGTTCTCCTCCGTCCCGAGCCGGACCTTCTAGCGCAAGTAGGGTTGCGGGACCGTCGTCTTCCACTGATTCTGTCTCCCATCTCCTGGCTTCTCATCCACAGCCGACGCCGCACAAGCCACCTTCGTCAACGTCTCCCAATCCACTCGTCGGATTACGTTACACCACAGCCAGCGCTGAGGCGAAGAAGCTGGAAGAGGAACGACGGAAGAAGCTCAAGGAGGAGAGATACACCCTGGAACAAGAGAGGCTGGCTGCTGAGGCCACCGAGCGCGAGCGCGATGCCTACCGATCCAAGGTCCCTTCCACCTCTGCGAGCACCAGCGCCAGCCAGGCGGCTCGATGGGACGCCACTAGCAACGCCTACTCCACGCCTGTGCCGTCGAGCAATGCAGGGGCCTCCTTCCCTGGTTCCGCCTCGCTCAAGCGTGGCTCCAGCACGAATAACGGCACGTATGGACGATCAGCATCTGGCTTCCCCCCTCCACAACCACCTCCGGAGTATGCATCGGCCCAGCAGCCACGCTACTCGGGCTCGTCAAATTCCAAGTCGCGGCCTACGGTGCTACCGTCGAATCCTACAGGCATCTATACGTGATCGATCGCGTTATCGTTCTCTTCCACGTTTGTCTACATTCTTACATCGGATTTGTTTCATGATCACGAACTTCACTGTAGACTGTACGGCTGGTATCCATGTTTTTTTTTCCTTCGAGGTAGCCAGACCGGTAATGAAGAATACCGATTTTTTTCTCTCCACGTTCATTGTTTTGCGACATCTTTCTTTCGTTACCTGCTACCTGGTCATGTCTTCACGCCACGTCGTTTGTATATTACCTAAATATGCCGCTCGTCTATCGTCGAATCGTGTAAACTATCTGAAGAACCATCTGCCTGTCCGTTTTGCTTGTTTACCCGAGACTGTAGGAACGGCCGCTGTGTACCTACGAATTCGAAAGTGAGCCGGCACGGTAACGGCCTTTCGTTGGACGCCTTAGTAAATCACAAAATCATGAAGACAGCACCACGATCGCCCCGTACACGCGACAGGCCATGTGTAGGAAGCTTGGGAACCTTAAGGCTGCAGGCCACATATGACAAACGTTGGCATAGGAAGAAATGCCGTCCACCCACACTGTCGAGGCGAAATGATTATGCCAACTCAGTCCTTGCACCGCTTTTCGTTCTTGCCGAGCATATAGATTTCTTATCCACTTTCTTCAAGGAACCAACTAATTTATTTAAGGAGATTGCAATGCATCACAGCAAGCAACAGCTTGGAGTATTGTTATTAGTCTTTGAATTAGAGCACCAATCGTCTCGAAGAAACTCCTTCTGCCTCAATGAGGGCTAGGGATCTTTCTTCGACCGCGTGAACGGTCATTCAGTGGCATCTCCCGCGATTGGATGATTGGATGGTCAGGGCAGAACCACTTATCACGCCGTGACCCAGTTAAGAGACCAGCGCTCAACAACTTGAGTGAGCGCCTATTTCACAAGCGCCCGATCTACATAAACGTTAATTTCAATAAGTGCTCAATCATGGTACTAGGTAGAGTCAAGCAGCACAGGATCTTAAGTCTTCCTCGACCTCAGCAGCATTTTCGACCCGCTCTTTTGAACCCACTGTTTTGTTCTGCAGCTGAAACTCTTTCGAGTTCTTCCCTTGACGTCTCTTTTTCAACCTTTCGCACAGGGTCTCCCAGCACCTTGTCTACCGAGGCTAATAGTACAACAACTTCTCCGGCTACCACAATGCCGCTCGCTCTATCTAGTTGTCGAACCTCGCTGACGAATTTTGATAACAACTGACTGGAGAACTCGACCTGTGCTCATTACGAAGTGCACGACAACAGTTCTCATAGCGTGCATCCTATTTGCCATTGAATGTTTGCGCCAAGTTGGCTGCGTTGAGTAGAGCAGCGAAATTCACCGTTCAACGAACTGAACAGCACAGCCGACTAGTCCAGCTAAGTAGCCAACGTTCGGTCAAAATGTGGCGCCGACCAGGCTCCAGATTCCTGAAGCCGTTTGAAATCCGTAAACTGCGGATAGGTCTCGGAGCCTTCACATCTTAAGCAGTCTGAGAAGACAATACCGAAGACTTGGCGTCTCGGTCTTCAGGTTATCAGCAATTCGAGCCCCCAGAATGCTGGCATGACCACGCGCGAGAGGCCTGTACAGAGTCGCGGAACACGACTAGTCGCCGAGGCGAACTCGGAGCTGGTGAAGTTTATTCTTGCCTCATACATATAGATCCTTGACAATCGATAATCGCGCCGAGGTTTGTGAACGGGAGCGATGATCAGGCCGATCGCGATTGGGTTTCCTGTTGGTCGACAAATGCTAGATAAGCCGGATCTTCACGGGCCTCATCCTGGACACAGGGATCGGATATTATAAATTCGTAGGACACCACTGTTTGAATGGCGGAAGAGAGCATTCTCCTCCCATGATAGAAGCTGTGTATCCAATTGGGAGTAATATACATTTGATAGGCAATCCATGGTACCTATATGCGGGATTATAGAGGCCGCGAGAGCTCTTCTTCGGTAAATCGCAACAGAAAGAGGAAGATAAAGGAAAGGAAAGCGCAACCCGACCTGATAGTGCAAGAAACGAAGGATGGTCGCCGAGAGAGGAAGGTCTACTGATAATGGAAAGAGTTGTGATTGACGCATCGAGGGCTCCAGATTAATGGCACTGGTTCAATCCGGCCCCGCAGACTTGCGCCAAAAGGATGTAGAAAAGGAACTTGAACCTTGTCAGCGCGGCGTCGTAATAACCCAGGGCCTCCAGACTCACCAAGCCTACGAGGACAGACAATCCAAGCATCTTCTTGTTCTTCCACCACATCTGCCTTCTGACCGTCCGAGCACCCCGCCTGAACGCAGTCGCCTGTCCCGCCATGACGTCTGTCTTGTCAACCAACAGCTCAATTCTCTCGCCTCGGTTGAGAATCTGCTCGACGTTTTGCACCATGATATCCTTGACTTGATTCAGTTCGTTTTGGGCTCGGGTGAGTTCGTCGACAGGTGGAGCGGTGTTGTACGTGTGCACCAACGCCGCGATAGTGGGCCCGAAGGTGCCTTGCAAACAGTAAGCCGGAGTATCATCTGACGATGACGATGAGGGTGCTGATGTGAACTGAGAAGAAATAGCCGCGTGAGATTAGCTATAAGCGGCCTCGGAGAAGGGCTTCTACCAGACCTTTCGCTGTAGGTCGTTCAAGAACGCAAATGGCATTCGGCTGAAACGCAAATTGATATGTCAGAAGCAGTCAATTTTGTGCCGTAGGGCGACACACACCGACCCGCGGAGTCATCTGCCATGACAAGATACGTGAAACCTCCATCGGAGATGTAGTGGAATAGGTATTGCTCCCAGACGTAGGTCAATTTGCTGTTGGACACAGGTAAGCATAAGGCAAGCTCTTCGAATGAGAATCGTGCCTGTTATTCGGAGGGATCTTAGACAGAATGGTTTGTGTGGCTTCGGGAAGTGTGAGAGGAGGGTCTGCAACAAGAGAACAGCCTGGCGTACCTTGCGAAAAGTCCCTGCCTCCTGCCTTGTGTTCGGCCAGGATTGTTGATCCTTTCGCAATCAAAGCATGAATCTGGCAAGGTCCAAAGGTGGAGTTATAAGCATCTATTGTGCAGATAAGATAATAAATACGCACCAAGGACATCCTAGAGACTTTCCTACTAACTTTACAGGGTCAAAGTGAGGGTAGAGCGAAGCGGCGCTGGTTGGGTTGTTGGGGGCATGGTGACGAGGTTTGACCCCAATCGGCATTAATTTCACACGGTCTTCCAAACAAGGCTGCTGGACTCAGCTGGGAGCCATGGTCGCCTTTACACTTTCTCGGAAATCATATTCTATCCCCTCTATTCGTCCGTATCGAAGAAAGGTTTGTCATGCCTATTTCTTATGCCCGGTTTGAATCGTAGAAAGCGTAATCATATACGGAGTTGAGCTATTGCTACTTGATTGCTGCGGTCCACCCAGCGCCCCAAAACCAAGAATTTTGCCACTCTGTGAAGTTGGAAAAATAGAGCGGTTAGCTACGAGACAAACTGCTAGCGGCAGTCCTCCTGACCCTATTATCGGATGATGGGCGCTCGATTCATTGTGCCCTCCTGATGACCAGCTGCAGTCGGCCGAGACCAATCATATCTGGGAGGCAAATTTCTTTCTTCGTTCCACGTTCCATATTAAATCCTGGTGATGAGCAAACTCTTCACGCCAGATATTGACCATACCAGGTTCCTATCGCCTGTTTTCTCGATGATCGACTGGAACTGGAAGGAGGTCCATCCTGGTCCTTCTTGGTCCCGATTTTCGGCGATAGGTACTTAACGATATCGATTATTTTTCACGCCCTCTTCTCTGTTCATCGAATCAAGAACTCCGAGAATTGACCTCTCACAGGATTTCCTATTATCGAACGGCGTTCAAATGGCGCGGTTCGCTCACCTCGCGGGCTACAAAATAAAAGAACCTTGTTTATTTGTCTGTCGCTTGTCCATTTTACGAGTAATGAAGATGCACTAGTGCTCTACTAGTACATTTTCAATATGTCCCCACCTGGCAGATGTATGGCGTTCCTTTTGGCAGATGCTCTTGCTGTGGTGGCTCCAGATTTTTTAAAAAAAAAAAAAGAAACTGTTTTAAAAGTTCTATTGTCTAAAATGATAATCGATAAGTATCGAGCCGTGGATATGGCAGACGTATTTAGATTGATGTGCCGTGCCGGAATGCTCAAGTAAGTACTATTCTACATAGTGGAATATTTAAAGCGTAAAACTTGCACATAGTTGCTGTAAGAATGCACTATTGGCAGAAGTGTTCACAATATTAGCAGTTTTGGCAAATATCAAGGAGGTGGGTGCCTTTCTGAGGGCTCGCAGTCCGAAAGTTAGGGGACTTCGCTTATTTCGGTCCAGCGACTTCCTTTTCCGCTTGTTTGCTCTTGTGTCATTCTGGTCTCCCAAGTTCTGTGTACGTCTCAACGTCGTCATCTTCGTCAACGTCCCTCAACACCTCAAGCACACAAGATGGTGCGTCCAATCCGTTGTATACGTCCTCTTCGAATCCCAAACCATTCTTTTCCGTTTCAAATTTGCTTTTCACCCGCTGGATTGCCTTGCTGACTCTCGGATGACGTTCTTGATAGCCCCCCAAAAAAGTCAAGGCGCCAAAGGAGGAGGCTGCCGTCTCGCTCGGTCCTCAAGTCGCTGAAGGTGAACTCGTTTTCGGCGTTGCGCACATCTTCGCCTCCTTCAACGACACTTTCGTCCATGTTACCGATTTGTCTGGGAAGGAAACCATCTCTCGTGTCACCGGTGCGTATGCTACGATCTTATCACAAAGATCGCAATTTCTGAAGTGCTCTGCTTCCAAACATAGGCGGAATGAAGGTCAAGGCGGATCGTGATGAGTCCTCGCCCTACGCTGCCATGTTGGCTGCTCAAGATGTCGCTGCTCGCTGCCGTGAAGTCGGCATCACTGCCCTCCACATCAAGCTTCGTGCTACTGGCGGAACTGGCACAAAAACTCCTGGACCCGGTGCCCAGAGCGCCCTCCGTGCCCTCGCCCGTGCTGGCATGCGTCTCGGACGCATTGAGGACGTTACCCCCGTGCCCACAGACTCTACCAGGCGCAAGGTGTGTAATCGGATTGTATCTCCATGGTTGTAGCTTATCTTGCGTTAGGGTGGTCGCCGTGGTCGTCGTCTGTGATCACTTCGCGCCTGTATTGATCACTTTGCATATCCCACTCCATCTCTCATTCGAAACTGCTGTTGTATGTCATTGATCAATGCAAATAATGTCGCCGCTCGACACGCATCAGGTTCGTTCGTGAACCTGACCCGTGGTCGTCCACTTCATCCCTCTGCTGTGTTGGCGCTCTTCAAATTTGCGATTGTGTGCACCAAGGTCAAGTTGCAACAGAGCCTGAGCAAAGCTACCCTGTCCGCACACGGCGCCGGCACTAGATCGCGTATTCTGTTCTTCATTTGGCTTGTCTTCGAACCGGCGAGATGTGAATAGCATGAACCATGAATAATTTCTCCCTAAGTCTGTTTGTCATGAATCACGATTGGATTTACGTTGCGCAGAAGCTAAGGATGTAAGAGGCTGCTCTTCCAAAGAGTTGCATGTCCAAGCTCTTTCAAAGGTTTTTGATGGGACCACTCCAAGCCAAAGGCCCAGACAATAGCGAATTTCGTATCACTTCCCACTCTCTTCCCGCCACCGTCATGATGTCTCAACTTTCCTGCAATCATCTCGCCGTCGAGCGCCATAGAGACCAGAGTGACTAAAAAGTCAATATCTGGCGGTGCGGAACTCGCGATGGGCAAGCACTTTTGCTTCCCACCACCATCGTCGCTATGGAGCTCAGGCTGGTTTTTCGAGCTCTCCGCAAAATCTCTGACTGGGTCGTCGATGGCTACTATTCGGAAACATTGGTCGAGGGGCGGGATCACGTACCAGTGACTGGTCCTCTCATCATGTAAGGAGAAAAGAAGGGGATACTTGTGTCTGATGCTGACAAGTATTGTAGTGCGTCGACTCACCACAACGATAGCATCGATGTCGCCACCCTTGGTGAGTTGCGTTTTGTCCTAGAAACTATCACACTGAAGAGAAAATATAGCTGTGACAATACCACACCGACGGCATCTCGCCTTCTGGGCCAAGTCGACCCTGTTCAACAATCCCATAATGGGGTCTATCCTCTCGTCCTCAGGTGCCATTCCTGTACGGCGGAACCCCAACGTCACAACGACCGATCCCAGTTCATCATCACCGTCCGCCAAAGTTTCCAAAGAGGCCGAGGTCACTGCCCGCGCAGCTCTATTCCGTGAATCTTCGAAAGCACTCGCAGACGACCAGGTTTTGGGCGTGTTTCCGGAGGGCACGAGCTACACCCAGGCGAGCATCCTGCAGGTTATGCCTGGGGCAGCTTGGGCTGCTGTCGAATACGTCCGATATGCGAGGGATAATGGAGACCCTAGTTGCGCCAACATCAGCGAGAAGGGCAAAGAGAAGGAGGCTGAGGTGTCAAGCAGCTTGCGTATCGTCCCCGTGGCGATCGTATACACCGATAAGACGCGGTACCAGAGTCGGGTCTCTGTAAAGTACGGCGACCCGATCTTCGTTGATTTGTACGCGGTGGAACTGTTCGTAGGCGACCAGGACGCGGCGGAAAAGGCAGTCGTGAAGAAGATTACGACTGAGGTGGAGAGGCAGCTCAGGGAGATGACAATAAATGCTCCGGACTGGTGTGTTGAGCTTTAATCGGCTATTTTCTGCTCTGATGGCCATTTAGGGACACTATATGCGCGATTTCGATGGCGAGAAGCATCCTTTGGGATGATGAACGGAATATAAACCTCAAGGACTGGGTGGAGATCTCGCAGAGACTCGTCCAGATGCTCATAGATGCCCCAGAACTCAAGGAGGCTCTCGCGAGGTACTACGCCCTACTGCACTACTCAGAAACGCGGCACTCCATCCTCCTCTCTCTCCTCCCTCTCTCTGCGCCTCTTGAAACCCTTCCACCACATGCGATCCCGGCCAGTGCGATTCTCATTCAGCCAACAATTTTCATCCTCGCCAGCTTCCCTCTTTCTCTTGTTCGCTTCTTCCTCTTCCTGCCTCCATTGCTGTTGCATTTCCCTGGCTACGTCAGTGGCAGCTTGATAGGCAAACTTCTCGCAGTTCCTGGAGAGATGGAGTCACCTGCTCAGTTTAAGGCTGTTGGTGGCGGCTTGGGCATCGCAGCAAATATCGCGCTTGCCTTTGGGGTTTTGTGGAAGAAGGGCGGCTTGTCGACCTTACCGGGCTTCCCCAAGGTTGAAGGCGTAAAGCACGTCTTGGCGCTCGTGGGCACGATATACTGCAGTGTCTGGTTGCTCGTCAAGTGGCATGGCCTGCTGGTGAATGCAAACTACCGACAGTAAGTACTGTCGACTCTTTTGGGGACCAATATTGACCTTTCAGCCAGGCTGCGGCGTATCATAACATATCGCAACCTCTTTCGTGCCTTTACTTCCCCCCTGCACAGGCTCACGACCGCGGAAGTCGACGTCTATGTGAAGCCGCCGCTTCCTGCGCTCAACGCATACCTGAAGAAACGCGAAGAATCTCCTGTTGATCATAAACCGCCCAAGCCTATTGCTGCATGGAAACTTGTGAGACACCTCTTGCATGCACGAACAGTCGCGGTCGGTGCTTTGTCCGAGAAGCTGAAGGCCCAAAATGAACAAACATTGCTCGGGTTTCTGGAGAGTAGAGGAGCGAAGGTACCTGTATAGACGATGTAATGTGCACAAAATTCACTTTTTCGTGAGCATTCCCTATAAGTTTGATCATCTTTTGCCAGGTGCCTCAATTTCTATACCTCGATGCACTCAAGATATGATGTACATGTCAGCTGCTGCCTGTGCATTCATGTCGCTGGCTCAAAATCCCGGCCGTTTGCCGTCGTGCTCACCACATGCAACGAGATCCGTTACAACCAATTGCAATGCATGCGCTTTACAATATCCATCGAGACTTTCAGCCCTAACGAAAATGTGAAGAAAGGGGATATGCTCACTTTACCGTCGACAACTTGTGATCCCAAACTGCCTCATAGCATCTCTGAGTACCAAGATAGTGGTGAAGGCCCCACTACGGTTGCTCTACAGCTCGACTCTTTCCTCGACGTCCGCGTCGGCTTTCGAGCTCCAGCCGCGTCATGAACGCCATCGTACGCACATAATTCTGTTCTACCTTGTCCACTTGCAATGCTACTGCTACCAGAAGAAGCTCTAGCCACCGTCGAGCGAGATCGCGATCGCCTGCGTGCTGAAGTGATGGGTAGCTAAGTACTAGTGCTAAAACGTCAACGGCACTTGAAGCTTGAAGCATCATGCATCATCTCCTGGAGCGCACAAGGCTGCAACATATGTAGCATTACTTTTTGCACATCACTCGTAAACCTGTTAGCCATGCAGTCATGAAACATGCAAAAAATATCATTAGTCCATGACTGTAGTCTAGAGTACTTACACTTTGTTCTCGTTCCGGACAACGGGTGCCTTCTGACCGTATGAGGCAACAACATGTGTTCATCGGCGGCGATGCTCAAGTCATTTTTGTTCTTCTTGCATACACACCGCGGTGTGCTGGCGGTTGATGCACCCTTCATAACCTGTTGTCTCCGGTTGTCGGGTTGCTGAAATCTGCGGCGCCTATCTTTATCCATCTCTTCTTCCTCTTTTTTGCTGTGGATGCTTGTCCTTCACTCGTCCAGTCGCTGCGATGTCTGTCTACTGGAGTATACATGGGAGACGCCTGCCAATGCACCCCATGCGATAGCATGTGGTCATATTTTCTGTCGAGGGTGAGTAGTGGAATGTCCAAGCGCGAAAGCCGGAGCCAGAATGCTGACCGTCACGTAGCTGCCTGTACTCTATGCAGCCCCCGCTATGTCCTCTATGCCGGAAGATGTACCAGCCCGCGAAGATCAAGAAGCTTCATGTCGATAAGCCGGAGGACATTGACGACCACAGGGAGTTGGATCTGCTGCAACGCCTGGCACTCTCGTGGGACCTGGCTGATGACCAGCTGGAGGACATCACAGACGAGGTGGATGCGTGGCTAGAAGATCGAGAAGATGATGTTGTGAGCCGTGTTCCCTTACCTCTTTGAATGTTGCCTGAATGCTCTTTAGAGCATTGCATTGCGCAAGTCTCGTGCGGCCTTAGCTCGGCACCGCGAGCTGAAGGAATCGGAGGCGGCCCTTGAGGAAAGAGTCGACAGTCTTGAGGAGGAAAGGCAGCGGCTAGATAACAGTATCCTCTTCGAACAGAACAAGGCTCTGGTAGCGGCGGAGGCGTACTCGGCCAAAATTGAGAGACTGGAGAAGTGCGTTCCTCTCCAGGTTTTCCGCGATCGTGTTACTAATTACACTTTGTAGAGAAGTGAGTTGTGCTCAAAGCTTTGAATTCTTCGACGTTTGACCAGTCTTTTCAGAACTATTACCTAAAGTCCGAGTTGCAAACACTGCAAGCCAACCAACGGAACCAAACGCGAAATCCTCTTCCTCCTCCTCCCGAACCGATATCAACCGAGCATATACCCAGCTTTGCCCAAGCAGTGTCCGACCCTAGCGTCAGGTTCTCCGACTTCCCTTCTCCGAGATTTGAAGTGGAATCTCGAAGCCGGAAGGGAAAATCTAAAGTACCGCTGGACCAGCAATATGACCCAAGATACCAGCAAACTCCCAGTTCTTCGCATTATGTTCAGCCCCACGTGAATCAATCTACCCGCGGATCCGGGCTGCAGCTCAACTTCGACAGCACCACCCAGCCTCTAGACGCATTTGCTCTCACGAGCGCCTACCTTCGAGAGTACTCATCTGGTTTTGTGGAAGGCCAATTGGCTGCGTCCACACCGGTGCATCCCCCAGCAATGAGCAACAATAAGCGACACCCCCAGCCACCTGCCACAGCTGTCGATCCGACTCATCGACATTCACACTCAACCTCGAGCATCTATCAAAACCAACCATATTCAGCACCAGCAGCTGCAGAACGAACTTCGCGGCCAACCCATCGGAGGCATGAGACGGTTCCGTCTATCATCTCTTCAGAAACGTCGTCAAATGAGGTCAACGGTCGCTCCTCGTCGAGATCGAGGTCACGATCAGGGCCTCCCGCCAGTGCACCATCTGTGGCGTCGTCAACCCAGTTTAGTCATCCCGGTCTGGCTTCAATTATGACCAGCAACCCCATACGACCTCCTTCAGGCAGATTGACCGCCGGCCCTACTGCTCCAAGCTCGATGCGCTCTCCCCCAATATCCCGTGCGCCAACAGATACCCACTCCACACGACCTATTCCACCACCCACCCCTCCACTCGGGCATTTCACTGCACCTGTGCGGACCGCTTCGTCCGTCCGGTCCCAGCAGACGATCGACACATGGGGCACGCAGACGCCCTCGCACCTCGCGTCAGGCAGCCTGATCAGTGGGCTGTATATGTTCCGTGACGTCCATCAGGGATCCAGCACAGGCGAGCAGCCAGAGCTGAACACAGTCCCAGAGTCGGACGCTGCAAGCATCCTCACACACGACACCCGCGAAACCTCGTTCAGTAACCTTACATCCGAATCGCAGCCTCGTCCACCGTCGCCTGTGAGACAGGTGGGCTCCATGGTCGGCGTGGTACTTTCGCCTATGGAGACAGCGGAACCTCGGTCGGAGAGAAGGACATCGTCGTATCGTTCGCCACCATCGGCCGATTCAAGGCAACGCCATGTCGGCTGGAGTGGCAGTGATAGGCACTCTCGTACCTCATCGATTACCAATGGAGTCAGCGGCTACCAGACAGAGAACGAGAGGTCGCATAACCAGGAACACTCCTGGAGCAGCCGGCAGCGCAACAGCCATCATCACGAAGACCGGGCGCCATCCCATCGCTCGCGGACGTCGATGGGCAGCTACTCGTATTACTCGAACCACGACCATTATTGGCAGCAGCCCAACGAACTCGGCCAATTGCAGGAGTCTGCACCTGGTGTGGCGTCTGAGATTCGGTTGAATATGGGTCAATTCAACGGTGGTCTACCTCCATCAGGAACTACCACAGCGCCTGTGCCGGCGCCTACATCTGTCTCCGCCGGTTCGAGCGACAGGCACCGCGACACCCGCGCTCATCGTTCCACGAGGCCACGAAACCATCGCTCGATGCCGCTGCCGGAGTCGGAGTCGCCATTCCCTATCACAGTGGAGAGCACAGACGACGAACGGGGGTCGTATGCGAATTCGCATGCGCATAGCTCGAGTCGGGGTGTCAGTAGTCCCGGAGCAGGCTCGCAACCGCAGCTACAGTCGTTTGGGAATGCCCTTGGTTTGGAGCTTACGACTGGCCCGCCAATGATCAGTGCGCCTACGCCTGTTGCTTCGACGCAACGGTTCTTGCGCTCATTCAGCCGGGACCACTACGAACCGTAAACGGTCGGCATTGAAGTACACAAGTCCCTGGATTGGACGGTATGCTTCAACTACCTGTCTTCCTTCCTTGCTTGCTCTCTCTCTCACACGCAGGCCTCTGACGAACCCATGCATGATCTGACGAATTGTCTGACGACAATGTTATATCCTTCTCTCCCGTTTCAATTCCTGCCGTCGACATCTGTGTACACATCCGCATATTACATCATTGTCTCCCGTGTACATCTGGAATATTGATTTCTCTTACATAAATAATAACAGGAATGTGTAACTTGCAGGCCTCTGTCAGAAGAATACCACTGCATGGGAGAAAATGATTTACATACTGGCTGGGCGGATAACATCAAACCTAACTGTGGTCGGTGGTACGAGCAGTTTCTCATTCTGGTCCTGGAGCTCAAGAACAGGTTGGGCCTGTCCGGGGACGCTCTTCTGCAAGCCGTCCTTGATTACAGCAAAGTAGTTTTGCGAGAGAAGGTTCGATGACACTTATCTACCGCTCTGAATCCCGTGGCTTAACCTTGTTTGCAGTACAAGCGATTCCGGGGGCTCTGTAACTTCCCTATCGTCCTCGTCGGTGCAACTGCAAATCGCCTGGAGATTTCCCTCACTGTTTGCGTAGGACCGATCTACGTGACCAAGTTGCTCACACTCGACCTTTCGTTAGGGTTTCATGCCTCCGACAACATCATCCGCCTGGCCCGTGTCTTCAGTGTCTTGTCATCCTGTCGGACAGATCTCCAAATTTACTACGACAATGCCAGCAAATTGGAGGCTCCCAGACTCTCTGGTCTGTATCCCAGCCCAACGCTCGCCGATCCTTCCAGAGTATTGCCCCAACTTACCTACCAGCAATTTCTGACCCGAGCTGGTCAACTCACCTCCGGTCTGGTGGACTTGGGGAACACGACCTCTGCCTTGTACATTGCCACCCTCGGCGACACCGACCAGGAGGTTATCGTCAAGTTCACAGCACGTTACAACAAGGTGGCGCATTGCCTGCTTGCCGACGCTCTGCTTGCCCCAAAACTCCACTTTTGTGAGCGTGTTATTGGCGATCTGTTCATGGTCATTGTGGATCGTGTGGATGGCAAGTCCATTTGGCAGCTTCAGCGGGACAACATGCCAGTTCTCGCAGTCATCTCGAAGAAGGTTGCGGAGGCAGTACGTATCCTTCACGAAAACGATATTGTCTTTGGGGACTTGCGGGAACCCAACATTCTCCATGTTGCGTCCAAGGATTATGTGGTTCTCGTGGATTTCGATTGGTCCGGGAAGGATGGAGACAGCAGATATCCGGCCACCCTCAACCCGGCGAACACCTGGGCAGATGAGGCTTCGCCTTATGGTATTACGCGCAAATCCCATGATTTATGGCAACTGAAGCGGTTGGAAACCCTTTGTAACCCTGATGCTTAGCTGGCTATTCCGCTCTTATCTCTTGCACTTAATGGTCACCCGCAAGATTTTGCTGGTGGGAAAGTAGATATGGTCTGGATGTGTCCATGCTTAACTTATGTAATATGCAGAATTTATATTGGCCCAATTCTGTACAACTAGACCCGTCAATAGCGCCATCGCTGCAAAATACAACATTTCTGCCACCCAGCGACGTTCCGTGCTGCCTTAGAGAAGTGACAGTGTCCCAAGCGCTGGTACACTGAAGGTCGAGGCCGGCTGATTCACGTCTTCGTGTGTAACTATATGGTTCTCACTTTGAAGCAGACAGTTTGATGGTCTAGAATGGAAATAGGAATGTGGCGCATACCGACGAATCGGGTTCAATAGTCTCACACTCCTGCCCGAAGTAAGTACAAGTATTATGGAGAATAGAAATATAATGGGTTAATATTTGCACAATAAGTCAAAAATAAACCCTGAAGCCTGGTTCGTGAATCATTAAAGTCCTGGAGGTGTGCGTAAGCCTCAGAGGAAAAGTACGGTCATGCCTGTGATGGCACCAATAACAAGCACGAGACTAGATCCAACAGCGGAGGATAACGCGCCGCTGGTCGTAGGTGTGGGGGTGGGGGCTGTCGTGGATTCCGGGTCAATGGTGACAAGCGGCTGCAACGCTCCGGTGTACGTCGTTGTATAAGTGGAAATACTGGTCGTGAACGAGGGATTCGCAACTGGGTCTCCAACAACGCGGACTCGCGCATTCTCTACAACCTCTACGCACGAGCCACGGTTGTTAGGGATGTCCAGAGAGCAAGTGCTGTCCAGGCCTTGCCAAACAAGGTGCCCGAGCCCATGCGTTGCGATAGTAAGAGGGTTGGAAGCTTTCTCTTGCGTGGCACCTTGCTCGAAAGTCCCTTAAACGAAAACAGAACATCAGCTTTGAATAAAAAATACAAAAAATCCGACACTGACTATAGAGTGTCACGGGTTCGTTGAGAAGAGTTCTGGTCTCGTCGGGCGCATGGAGGACCAACCGGCTCCGAACTACCTCTTGAGCGTAGCGCGTCATGCCGTCTTCCCCAGGTCCAAGTGCGGAAAAGCGCATGGTAAACCCCTGCTCGATAGATGCCACTGTGTCTACATCATCCGATAGGGGCTGATCAACCACGTAGAGCGTCACGGGGGATCCGCTAACTTGAATTCGGTCAGTGTCTACGAGAATTAGACGGGAACGCAGGAGTTACACACCAAACTGGAGCCCCAGTAGCAGAGCAAGGAGTAGAGGGGCAAAGATGCGCGGACTCATTGGTGCCATGGTAAAAGTGTCTAGGTGGGGACAGCAACCATTCGTCAAGGACAGTGTGGGCCTTTATAACGGATGGACATGTCGAACCCAGTACACGCCAAGATTAATATAGGACGGAACCAGACGGATGGCAGGGCACAGTACTAAGTAGGGAGAACGAAACCCTTCAAAAATGCATGAACATTCAACGAAACACGTTGGCTTCAACCTTGTACTCGGATTCCAAAATCAACGCATGTACACTGTACAATGATTGCCGATGTCAGCGAACCAATGCTCGCCGCTCGGATTTAGAAAGATTCAGCATCGCGGACGTAGTGCACAGCCTTGTGTAAGGGCAACAGCCTCGTTCCGCCGACAAAATACCGCTTCATAGCCTGCCTCTGCTCCTGAAGAATAGAGGCTTTGCGCAAAGCCAGCTGGAGCCAGTGCTGGCTCAAAAACGTTGCGCTGTGTCATGTAGCCAGTAGCGGCCAATTAGTGACTATGCTTTTAACTTAGTCTTATGTAGTACCATGTATGTCTGGATGCCAGGGGAGTTCAATGACAATGCAAGTATCTCACTGTATTCGTCCGTGCAGCTACGACAATCTCCAGAAACTAACCTATATATGGAAACTGAGCCAGCAGAAAATATCAACCGTGATCAACCGTTGATCAACCACCCCCACAGACTGATATTGCGTGGAGCTCTCCAGGAAATACGAGGTTATAAAGAGATGTAAGTAATATTAATATATGGCATTCATCGGTCTGATATTCAGGTTCTGCTGGCTAAAGGTCTCAGCGCAACGCATTTGAGCCACCACTGGTTCCAGCTGGCTTTGCGCAAAGCCTCTAATGCCATAAGAAGACTCCAACGATTTAACAACGAGATAATGCGGATTGCATAAAGCGTCGAGGCCGGTCCTTCACTTGGCGAGCATCCCGTCAAATTGACAAAACAGGAACGTGGCGATGCGCCACACCGAATAGGCCGCCACTTCCGTGCACGGGTATACTGATACAGACTGACTTGCGGTGCACGTCCTTCAAGTTAGGTCCTCAGGAGGATCACTTTTAAAGTCTGAGGCACTGCGGGAAGATGCGGGAGACTAAAACCAGCAAATCAGGTTAAGGGATTCAGGAGAGGCCGGGTAGTGTAAACCATGAGCTCGCCTGCATTCCTGAAGGAGGTGAGCGCGTTGGAGCATTTGACCCAGTTTAATCTATAGACTTGTGCGCATATGCTTCCTGGCTTTTGAATTCTAATTGTGTTTGGATAAGCTGAGAGAACCTGATCTAATCTTATCTCTCCCCACTTATTCCCAGCCAATGCAGAACTGTCCATTACAAGCTCCGCATGCGTATCCTCGGCGTACCCCGAGGACTGGCCTATATAAGCTTTGGGTTATCTTCTCCAGGGCGCGGTACTCACACCACACCTTATCCACAGAGACCAATCCCCTCCATAACGTGAAGTAATGGCACCAGACCCTCAATGTGCTGCGCTCGCGGCTGCGAAGGAGAAGAAAGGTATCCTTGTTAGATGTACACTCATTGACGAAGTGGACTGAAGCAACGTCAAATAGGACTGTCGTACGCACAGATCGCAGACCAGATCGGCCAATCTGAGCAGCATGTTATCGATGGTACGTCTCTCTCAATCGATCTGTTTATTGAGAAATGGCTAACGTAGCTTTTCCTATCTCAGTTTGCACTGGGAAATCGAAGCCAACGCAAGCGGAGTTCCAGGCTCTGGCAAGGGTTCTTGGTGTTACTGGCAGTGTGCGTACAGCTATAGTAAAGATACCCATCACAGTGCTTACGGTGAGATGTTCAAACGTTCAAGGCCCCGCCCACTGCCTCCCATGCTACGGCTTAATGTCCGCGAGAAAGAGTGCTCTGCATAGGTGTACGAACCGTGAAACGAATGTATTTGTATGTGAGGATGTTGAACAAGCATTATGCCTCTCGCTTTGAAAGGGTCTACTTTCCCTCAATGGCACTCGCGTAGGAGAACCGATAGTCCTCAAAGATATTCTTGGGGCTATTTCCAACCTCCAAGTTTGCTTCGCAACAAGGTTAAGTCAATAGTTATTTTCAGATCGTTTCATACATTACTGGAGCTTGAATTACATATAGATTCCAGGAATAGACCAGAAAGGAGGAAGAATAAATATCCGGCGTGTTCATGTCGAACGAACCTTCAGTGCGAAGTACAACCTGCTCCCTGGATTAGAGACGAAGTAATGAAGAATATAAGACTTACGCGATCCGATAGATAATGGTGACACAGGTGAGGATAGCAGCCCATCTCCCGTACGAGATGCCTCCTATGTCCAGATAATCAAGGACATCGGCACCTGACACGGTGCACGAGGCAGGGGTGGACGTTGGGTACGCGCAAACGCACTGGTCGTTGACGATAGTGCTGCACTTGAAGGTTAGGCCTCGTAGATCAGACTAAAGTGGGTACGGTTAGACCAGGGTAAGAGACAGAGCCACATAAATTATCTTACGTTTGTGAGAAGCTCGAAGGCGTATTTTTGATAATCCATAAAATGGAAGCTGTAGTACCAGAAGCGGGGAAGGGACCGGGCACGCATGCTAACGAAGGCAGATGGTCAAGAAAAAGGGGTTAATATTGGTGGTTAGAAGAAACTTACAAATATCCACCAACGCTCATCCAGAAGCCGTTTAAACTAATAATGGTTTGGTGTCAGTTGTCTCGGGATGCTAGAAGAACTCACAAAGCACTAATAGCCAGAGCGGCAACGAATATGGGGAGGAGTGACGCAACAACCAGAGCTTGGCTCTCCGCCGCGAGGATGGACAGGAACAGGAAGGCGAGGAAGCGGAAAAACGGCACTGCGCCACCGTGCAATCCCTGCCAAAAGTCCATCAACACACTAATATAAGCACATCAAAGTAGAGTGCACATACGATGGCCCAATAACATATAACGGTGAAGAAAAAGGTGCACAGGAAGAGGAAAGGTATGTTCACGAGCGTGTTCGACAGGACGAACGGGAGGGTGGTGTACAGTCCATTCTTCGTCTCGCGGTAGTATACGGAGCGCTCTTCCAGAACTGCCCAGGCGCAATGATCAGCACGGGAACAACATAATAAAAAGAAGCGTGCGGCAACGTACATGCGGGGATACCAGCTACCGACATCTGGGGGTGGGTTATTAATATTCAATTATCAAGCATGCTTCTGAAAAATGGAAGTTGGACCTACAAAGGCAAGGAACGCCACACTGTAGAAGTGGACCGACAGCCGATCGTTGATGGTCGTGTCTTCGCTTCCGAGGCGGATCCATATCGTTCTAATGAAAGCCAAAATGAAAGCAAGTGTGAGCAAACGCGTCTATTGGAACCAACGTCAAGTTGGACAGGTGAAAGCACCCACGCGAGCATCAGACCCATCCCGCCGTACATCCCCAATCGAACTCCATATGCCAACAGGTTGCGCGAGTAGTTCATGGCCGTGCGCTCCGCGAGTACCAGCGTATTCCAGAACAAGGTCCCAATAGAGCCGGCCTTGCCATCGACGGCGCCAGAATTTTTGTCTGTGGGATAAGCGAGAAGTTTCTTCTCGTCGAATGGCTCTGAGGCCGGGTCGCTGGCAGACCAGGAGAGGTAGAACTCGCGGAACTCGCGGATGATCTCGGCGGAGGTGGAGGGGTGCAGGAAGTCAGTGTTTAGGAAGTTCATGGCATGGTCGGAGGGCGTAGTCTGCGGAAAAGGTAATTAGCGATACTCTGGTTATACTACAGCGAAATGGGCGAAGGTGTACTCACGAAACGTCCAACCGGCCGTCCCCACTTCTCGAAGAAGCCTTCCAGCTCGTCAACACGGCCGGAGTAGCAGACCTTGCCTCCAGCCAGGAGCATGACGTTCGTGAATTGCGAAAGCGTCTCCATGGAAGGCTGGTGGATTGAGGCGATGACGATCATGCCCTCCGCCTTCGAGAGGTGGCTAATGGACGCGATGACCTCACGGGCAGAGGTGCTGTCGAGCTGGAATATACATGGGTGAGAAAGATTGGCTGCAAAGTCGGTAAGGTGAGACCTACCCCAGATGTCACTTCGTCGAGGAACAAGATTCTCCTGTACAGCAATAAGCTCCCATTCGCCATTTTTCAACATGAGGAGTGTAACTCACGGGAACGTGACCATTGCACATGCAGCAGTGACTCGCCGCTTTTGACCTTATTACATCGGCGACATATCAGAAGGTTGTTAGACTGGGGCAAGTGGGCACTGACCTCCCGAAATGCCTCGTTGGATAGGTGTTCCGATGCGCTGATTCGCGCACGATTGAAGGCCTAAAGCTTTGATTGTCCGTTCCACACGGTCATGCACTTGCTTGCGGGGGAGGAGTGGAAGGCTGGATCGCCGTGTCGTGAGTTTAATTTCCAAGGTTCCTGCCCTAACGATGGTATGGATGAAAAGGCTTACTGGAGTCGGAGAGCGTAGGTGATCGACTCTCGGACAGTCAACACTCCGAGTAGGGCATCCTCCTGCTCGACGAAGTTGGAGATCTTGTGCATCGCATTCGCGTCTAGAGTCTGTCCATTCAGCGTAGCCTAGACATTAGGAAATGCATGAGTTGGGATAGCTATCGGACTCGGAGATAGGACTCGCCGATCCACCGGGAGTAGTCGCCTTGTGGAATGACATCAAATCTAGCAGAGTGCTCTTCCCTGATCAAATCATCAATACTGTGCGCTATACACGGAAGGAGGACCGACCAGCTCCAGATGGGCCCTATTCTTCAAGATGAACAAAAATCTGGTGCTGGAAGCAAGGAAACGTACCATTATGGCTAGTAACTCGCCAGCATGGATATCCACGGAGACATCCTCGACAAGTATTTTGCTGCAATCCTTGCCCTTCACGCAATATCCGAGATGCTTGAAGGAGAGAACGGAGCCTGGGACGTTGACCACCTCATCGATGGAGGGCACATCGTCGATAACAGATGGGGAGGAGGACGACATCTTTCAATGGGTTGAACTCTTGTGCTTAGCTTATGTCCGTTATATATAGAAAAACAACAGCCAGTCCGGGGAACGCGGCGGAAAGCGAGGCGGCGAAACACAGAAGAACGGGCGTATGGTGAACGGAACGCATCAGGACGTCCTCGCTTTTTATCCCCCTCGAGCCCTCCGGTATGGTTAGCGCCCCGCGTCACGAGCGTGGTGCATTCCCTCTGTAAGCATATCATGTCGTATCAGCTGTTTGACTTGTTGGCCTTTCACGGCCTCCCTTTGCCCCATTGGTTTGTCAACATCCTTGAGGGTTTGAGCGCCCACCAGATCGGGATATTCAATATCAATTTGACGGCCGATGGTGATGACCGCAGTCCCGATGACGCGCAAACCATTGACAAGACGCAGGTGGTGGTGAAGGGTCCTTCCGCACACTTTTGGGGCATACGAGTAGTAGGTAGCTCAGTCCAGCCAGTTCCCTAAGTTTAAAGCCAGGAATCGTTCTTATGGATGCATAGAGACGAGCAAGTCGAAGGCAAGATCGGCGTCCTCAACCTTGACACGCAGGCTTTGTTGCGCCCCAAGTTTCGATTTCAGCAGGCATATGTATTTCCTGGATGACTGAGTTTGTACGTGACCTCCAGATAGTGCACGTCCAGGTACGTAGACATAAATTGCCAACATTTGGCCCCTGGGTTTCGAGATAAATCACCCGCAGACGAGGTGAATAGATCGAGCGGGGACAGAAAGGGAAACTCTGGGCATGTGGACCCTAACAAGGGATCAAGGCACCTAAAATGAAGCTGGAATACCAAAGAAAAGGAAACCGAGAATTTCGGCTACCGTTTCGCTGAGGAATTTTTGCGTCTTCGGGAGATCGCACCGACGGATGGGTTCGCAAGGAAGGCTGTCAAAGACGATAGCATTTGCGACACCTGTAGACAGTCAAAACCAGAGGCAGATCGCCAGGAACGGCCTTTAGTTCAGGGGAACGGAAAGCCGGAGGACGTTGCTGTCAGTGTCGGGAGGAAGTGTCAGCTGTGTGCGGAGTGCACGCGCTGCTGACTACCCGACCACGTGATCGCGCTTACCGTCAGATCACGCAGAGCCTCAACAAGAAAGCGCATATTTCCAGGGGGAAAAGGTCTGTTGCCTGCCCTTAGAACGAATAAATAGCGGGCGCTTACTTCGCGCTTTTTGCAAAGTAGATTTTCCGGCTTAAGTACTCGAAGTAAGTAATTATATTTTCCGAATCAAGGATTTATTTATAATCTAGCAGATGGGCAGTCTTCGCCCTGCACCTTTCGTGGCCGATGAGCAGCATATCGGAGAACTAAAGTATATTTGCCTACTTGCGATTTTGGAATAGGCACCGATGAGATTAGATAACGGAGGTATCCAAAATCTAATCCAAAATCTGCCATTCTCACGGTCCAAGTGCTCCTTCGACGCCGCGCCGCATTTTCCTCGTATTTCCACAACGATTCTACGTGCAAGTGTCCAGGGGCTGCTAGTCCAGGACGTGCGATACTGACTCGAGACGGTCCGCAGGACCATCGATCGCCTCGTTGGACTCTTAGGCTCCCACCAGCTCATGCTCGAACCCTATGTTTAGCCCTGAGTTCGGTCTACTGGGTGCATGAATCAGCCTGCCGTTCGACATGGTTCAAATTCGCTTCGTATTTTCTCACCCTGGGGGTCGACTAAACAGCAACCTGCAATATCAACATGAAAGGCGCCAGTCTTGCTTCGGATTCCTAGCCCTTGCTCCGGCATGCGGAAATCAACCTGTCCCAGTTTTACCTACGAGCTTCCCCTCTCTGGTGGAAGCTTTCGACCTTCAACTATACGTATATGATCCGGGGAACGCGTGCGGAGCTCGAGTTCCTCTTATTCGACTTCGAGCTGCGGGGAATCATGACGTCCTCGTAGTCTGACAAGGGTTCAATCTATGTCGGTCCGGACGTACGTCTCGTTGTCAAAATGTGGTTCGCAGCAAGCTCATTTCGGCCCACAAAGCGCTAATTCGATCAAAAGTCTGCGCACCGTGAATTTACCTGCACCATGTCGAGGAGCCGGTGGGCTGCTTGATCGAATTGAAGGCAATCTCACCTTGGCTGAGAATGCATGCGATGTTCGTGGTATAACACTTTGGCTCTGGATGATATCATGCTTCATACCCGGACAGTTTCTGTCACTCTTCATAACGGAAGGATCTCCTGGATATTCAATGCTGTCCGGCGGCTCTGATGTAAGAAATTACAACACCATGATTCCATGCGTCGTTCGGGTCCCTTGTCGGTCGGATCATTCATACTCAAGGAATCTTGAAGAGAAATAACTTTATCAACGACCTCAACCCGATCGAAGAACGTCATTATTAGATAAATTCGACGTGTAACTCAGCCGCGTTTCAATCATCCTCCCCTAGGTGGTGAGAACTCTTAGTGTCTTTACAGAATGCACGTAAAGTTACGCCATCCTGCAAACTCGTGGACATCGCAGGGCATTCTTGCTGCGCTGGTCCAATCACCCTTGATACGCCACACTTCTTTGAAAGGCTATCTAGCGGAAGCTTCAGAACGGTCAAGGTTCGTGTATTTTGTCCTTGATCCGGGATTAACTGCGGCCCCCCACTCTATTTCGCAGCGCTAAGCTCCAGGAGGTGAATCGGACTCTGCCTCAACTTTGCCTCACTCACGGATCAAATTCCCCATTCCCCACGGGCGTTGGATGTAAGGGGCGATGACCCAATTCCCAAGTTGGTTCACTGGTCAGCAGGTGATCAAGTGGACATAAATTAATCACTATTTATCAAACAGCAATACCCGAAGAGGAGGTCCTGAAGTATTTCTCTGGCGATGAACTAACCCGACCAGGTATGTTTTTTCCCATCGAATCGTTATCTTTCGCCCATTTGGTGTCTCACCGTATAAGGAACGCCACTCTATGTCCCAATGAAAAGAATGGAAAGATGTACACACATTCTTCTCGTTGAGTGGACGCTCGCATCAGGTAATGACAGTTGACGTTTCGATGCCATTTACTTCACAGCCTGTCCTGTGACCAGGACGTAAATCTCTCGAAGACTGATTAAGAGAGCCCGTACCACGCCGCAAGATGGCGACATATCTTCGATGAATGCCGGTGTTCCTGTGGTACGCTAACAGGCCCGGTGTATCGTCTATTGTTGGCTAGAATAGCCAGAACAGAAGCTTAAAAGAGACCAAACTTCGCTTTCAATCCCCCGGTGCTGACAATGGGCACTATATCTGCGACCTTGGACCTTGCTCAAGCTTATCCTTACCATACCATTACCGCCTCGCTCTTCTTCATACTCGTCGTAAACGCACTCTTTTTCCGAAAGCGGGCGAGCAGCCTTCCTCTCCCTCCAGGACCCAAGGGCTTTCCCCTCATTGGGAATATCTTCGATATCCCAACAGATAAGCCGTGGTTGGTCTACAACGAATGGGCAAAGATCTATGGTATGCCGCTTTCTTGGGTACTTCCATCCACTACACTGAAGGGTTGGGCAGGCGATATGATCTACTTCAAGGTTCTGGGACAGCCCTTCCTCGTCCTCCATACCCTGGAGAGAACCTACGACATCTTTGAAAAGAGATCCTCGAACTACTCAGACCGTGCACGGATGCCCATGATTCTCGAGCTGTGAGTCGATCCTGCCTTCTGCCCATAGGCGCCGTTTCTGATCTTGATATTGATGGGCGTTAGAATGAACTGGGATTATAACATGGCGTTGCTACCCTACGGTACGTGGTGGCGTCGTCATCGACGAGCTTTCCACGAGCATTTCCATCCCGGAGTTGTGGCGAAGTACCAGCCAATACAAAGTCGCGAAGCGAGGGGATTTTTATATCGTCTTCTCGTCTCTCCAGAGAACTTCAGGCATCACATCAGACAGTACGTCCGCTCTCCAGAGTAGTCGCGATTTTATCTACCTCATCAAATCGTAAATTACTTCAGTGCCTTCGCAGCTACCATCATGAGCATTGCATACGGAATTACCGTGAAGGAGTCCAACGATCCATACATCTTGAACGCCGAGGAAGCTTTGGAGGGATTGTCTGAGGCTGGTGTTCCAGGACGCTTCTTGGTCGACCTCATTCCAGTTCTCAAGTACGTCCCGAAATGGTTTCCTGGAGCCAACTTTAAGCGCAAGGCTGCGAGATGGCGGAAAGTGAACGTGGATGTAGCTCAGAAGCCGTTCTATTATGTGAAGGACCAGATGGTGAGCTTCGAAGGACTTCTGGCAACATCTTACATCTGATGAGGTCTGAAATAAAGACGAAGGGAACCGCTGTACCCTCGTTGGCCGCGACATTGATCGACCGTTTGCCAGGTGATAATGATCCATCACGTCGTGAAGAAGAGAAGATTGCTCAAGACACCGCTGCCGTTGCATATGTAGGTAAGTATAAAGCTTCTCTACGGAACGCCCAAGCACGATATGACAGCCATTTCTGTTAGGCGGGGCCGATACGGTCAGTTTCACCTCTATCGCAGGCCTCAAAGATATCTCATGTCTCGAGAGACTGTATCTGCTGTGCAATCGTTCTTCCTAGCCATGGCAATGTACCCCGAAGTGCAGACGAAAGCCCAAGCCGAGATTGACCAAGTCGTTGGCTGGAATCGCCTTCCGGAGTTCAGCGATCGACCTTCGCTTCCCTACATTAACGCCCTCGTCAAGGAATCGATGCGATGGCAGCTGGTCACACCACTCGGTATGTGTGTACGAGGCTGCGAATTTTGTAGTGCTGACTTCGGGATTTGTAGCTGTAGGACATATGTGCTCGAGGGATGACGAGTATAATGGATATTTCATTCCAAAGGGAACTATCGTCGTCGGGAATTCCTGGTACGTTCCCTTTGTACTGAAAGCTGCTCGAAAATGGGCTAAAACTCCGACCCTCTGCGAACTCGAAGGGCTATCCTTCATGATCCAACTGTCTTCTCAGACCCTCTTGAGTACCAGCCCGAGCGCTATCTCAAGGATGGACGGTTAGATCCGAATGCTAGAAACCCTGATGTCGCAGCATTCGGGTTCGGTCGACGGTAAGTTGTTATGGCATCACTTCCAAGTCATTCGCCCCTGAATTCCAGAACGCTATTTAGAATCTGCGCAGGGAGACACATGAGCGACAACTCACTATATGCCATCGTATCTTCTGTTCTCGCTGTCTACGACATCAGACCTCCTCTCGACGATGAGGGGAACCCTATCCAACTCAAAGCAGAAGTTACGAGTGGTCTATTATCGTAAGAAACTGCGTGGCCAATCCGTGGTCTTGTTTCTCATGCACTTATTCTTACCTAGATATCCGGTTCCGTTCAAGTGCACCATCAAACCTCGATCACCTGCTGCTGAGGCCCTTATTCGTGACAGCTTTGAGGGAGATCGTTAGTCTTGTATCATAAGGATTTGTCATATTGTTTGATGTGACGTCAGAAGCGTTTCTTGCGCTGGTGGATATTCGGAAGGTATCTCAGTGATGAGTTTTATTTGGGGTTCATTTTATGCTTGACGGTTATCTTCTTCAATAATCTACCAAAGTATTCGCTGGCGTTTCTGTCTCCGATGACGTAGCCACGCTCATATTAATTTCCGATTTAGGCTTGAGTGGCGTTCAATCCATTCTCGAGCTCAGGCCCCTGTTCGACTAAAATATATTGCGACTCTCGTATCTCATGAGATAGACTACTCTTCTGAGTTTTAATGTGTGAGTGCCGAGTGCCTCACCCTTAGGTCAACCCCTACTAGCTGTCTACCTGCTGCCATCCTGGATATCCAACTCGATGGCCTGCTGGATAATTTCCTTTATCTGCATTGAAAATCGATGGCTTTTGATTGGTTATTGTCTGCAGGCTCGCAAATAGCTCTTCTCCAGCATTGCTATCCTTCTGGCGGGTCCCGACGTCTTTGCTTTATCTGCTGGTATCAAATTATTCAACTTAAGAGGCTCCGAACCACAATAAATGATTGTTCAACTTGCATTGGCCGCGTCGACCTTCTGTTATTAATTCTCGCGACGCTCCGTTGGAGTGATAGAGATCATGGCCTGGTCAAGGGGCACGGCTTCAAGATTTCTTAGCGGTGGGTTCCATAGGTGTAGGATCACAGCGCTATGGAGTTGACCAGGACTAAAGCCCAATATTTCATCCCCAGTAAACTTCATTCCACTGTCGACGATGAGAAGATCTCTCTGTCAATCGTGGATCGATGCAGTGATCTCTGCGCCCCGTCATGGAAGGCTCATTACATTTCTCACCGGCTCAACGCCAAGCTCCAGTATGACACATATTCCTTTACGGAAGCGGTCGAAAGTCGGACTCTTCAAAGTTCCTTGGCAGATTTATTACCGGTGCCTGACGATCAAGCGCTCAAGTAGACACCGATCATGGTTGTCTGGGTTTAAGCGCCCGTGCAGGGGCCATTTTTATTCAGGAAGCAACTACTAGACTGTGACCAGACAATATATATTTGCTGAAGTATAGATTGTTAACTCTCCAGACATTAGGAATGAATGCGGAGCCTTCGCCCAGCTTGGCCTGCTTGATTCTTACCCATGGAGCTTCTGCTTCTGCCGAGGATCCGTGTGTACGTCCCAGCATCGCCATGAGGCTACGAACGCCAAAGGGTGAATACGGCTTGACCTGCGCCTGCGGAGGTTACAAGGTGGGAGAGTACCGCGAAAACCCAGCAGCGACGCTATCGTTCTGGAGGGATGAAATTTTGTTAGTACCGAAGGGTTAGAGGAAAACGAAAGCACTCGCCCGGATAGCCTGATCTATCGTCGAATCCTGACTTCACATCGGGCCACATCCTACGCCTATCAGCCGGTCGTCTTGGAGTCTCGACATTGGACGTGACAGTTGACACGCATTCCCGGGCGAGTAGGGAGTGGGAACTGAACGCGATGAAGCAAGCAGGGCTGCTCCCTGGGGATGCTTAGTGAGTTTGAGCTTGAGGATTTTATCCTTTCATTGTGGATCTGTGCCTAATACACATCTCGCGCGTTTGGTCATGCGGTTAAGGCCCTCGTTACAAGTATACAGTACAGAGTTTCATTTTATACCGCTTCAGCCTGTCTTTATTCGACAGATTCCGACTGAAATCAATCGCGCTCGGAAACGTGATGACCTTCTTCGTGTCCACTTTACACGGACTGAGATTATGTTCGTCGATGTCATCCTCTTCAGGCTCCTGTTCAGCATCCCCACCCCCCTCTGGCGCATCCGAAGGCTGGAAGAAGGTCGGGTTTACATGTGGGATCCTAAACAGCAGCGCCGCACATGTATCGCGGAGTAAAACACCGCCCTTCGACTCCTGGACGTTCCAGATCCCGAAGGTGAACTTGAAAGTGAAGCGGAAGGGCCCGAACAGGTCGCGGTCCTGGACGTTGAGCAGCTCGACGATGGTAGGTTCCTTCTGTATGTCCTTGTGGCATTGCAGCCGGACTTTTCCTTCGCTCAGCAGCTTCTTGCTATCTTCAGGCGGTGGTGTAAGCGTGTCGGTGTCTACCAGCAGCAGCCGGACGCGTAGTCCAAGGTGGGTGAGGAGCATTGGCTCCAATGGGACAAGACTGATTCCGTCTAGATCTACGTTCGGATGTCCAACATAGCATTCAGGCCTGGAAGGGATCAACCTGGACGAGTGGATGTTATGAGAGATTGGCTGGGATGCCCAGTTGAGGATGCCCAAGACGTTGCGGAAGGCATGGAGGATGGCTTCGATGAGGCGGAAGAAGGCGCGCTCGACGCCTTCGCCGTAGGCGATCGGGATGTTGACGCTGAATACTCCGAGAAGGGAGTAGACGCGGTCTTCTCCGCGGGTTGTGGTACGGTGGGCGGCCCATACCATCTTTGTTTCGAGGTCCCCGACGCCGGGATTGAAGTATTGCAGTTCGAAGGGTGTGATGCCTGTTGCTTTTTCGATCGCGGTGTGGATTGGGGATGAGCTGCCGTACGTGTGGGGTTTATCGTTCTCGTCTTCTGTGAGGGCCTCCCAGTTTTTGTTGTAGAACTTCAGGCGGTCGGGTGCTAACAACTCCTGCAGCGTCCATCCACGCCTGAACCACCGATCGCCGGGCATGTCCTCCAAGGACGTGGTGTTGAGAAGGTACGCGATGCAGATGTGCGACTCCTGGTACCACCTGTACATCGAGCGAATCGACTCGTCCAGTTCGGACGTGCTGTCCTTGTTGATGCAGATCGTGTCCATCCACGCCAGATCGACACCATGTTTCTGAGCCGCAGTCTCACAGAACCTTGCGAGCTTCTCGTACCCGAGCCCTGTACGCGCTCTCCCCTGCTTCGCGTCGTTGTACGTCACCTCAAGGTCGTCGTCGAGCCATGTATGAGACAGGATCGCGTATCGCGTGCGCTCGACGACGCCTTCTTGGATGAGCTGCTTTCTCGAGGGGAAGGCAACGACTTTGGAGGTGGTGGTGCGGCGGTGTTCGATCCAGGCGTCGTCGATTTCGGACATCCGAGGTAGGAGGTGCTGAAATACTTGTCGTCGGTCGATCAGCTCCATTGAGGGGAGCTTGAGGAGGCGGATCGGCATGCGATCGAAGACGTGCTCGCGGAGAATGTCGGCTACTTCCCGGGGGACGGCCATCGGGCTGATGCTTTGTGGGTTATTGGTAGGGCTTGGGATTCTGTACGAATGTTATAGAGGACGGGTGGTATGCTTCGTTATAGTGGTGATATCTGAACCAAGTTGCCTGTAGATCCCATCAGTGGCTGTGCACGGGTGTGCCATGCATTCGTCGTACTTGGAGGTATTTACCTCTTGCTTGCCTCTTGCGACCGCGTGCGACGCGATTCTGCACTGCTCGACGCGTCTCCAAGCATCAGCTACCTAGTCCCGGGCATATTGGCTCAATCCCTCTCTGTTCCGTCGGTTTTAGTATCCAGGCTGAAGGAGGCGATGGTGACATTGTTTTGCATAACCGTTTGCACTCGGCCTATCTACATTAGTCTCGATATCGACCCTATCCCTATTAGCTACCTAGTTGACGGTGAACCCAAGAACTAATACAAGTAGGGTATAAGGTGATTTGCACGAGTGAGCGGCATTACTACTAGCTATAGGAGCAAGCCATGAGGGTTCTTCGACACGGAAGAACGTTAACTCTCGTGTCATATGATACTTGTCTGAGTCCGTAGGTTGCTTCAAATGTCCTCGCACATATAAAGGATGCGCCCGGACCCAAGTCGAATTATTAGTGAGGCGTCGAAAGCAGGTCCCGAGTCCTGGCAAGCACACCTTTTAGATAAATTACGCCCTTACTCCTCAAGGCCTCGCCTCGTTCATCAGTTTTTCTCGCTCCTCATCCTCGTCCTCTCAACCCGCGAATCCACCCTTCTCGTACGCGCAGTTCATCCTCTTCTCCGCGTCCCCCCTCCCACTCTTCCTAGATACCAAACGGGGAGTTGGAGGGGACGTCTCGGTGTTCGAACGTCGTCCTACCTCTAGCGTACTAGCTGGTGTAGAGTATGCAAGAAAAGAGTGGGGGAAAGGACGTGCAAGCAGAGGAGGTGCCCGTAAGTGATGCGGTGCCGCAGGGTGCCGCGCTTGCTATCTGAACTATTTTACTTTCCAGGCACGCCGGACCAAGCTGCTTGCTTTCTGCTTGCTTTCTGCAGTCGTCTGGCCTACGGGTGAAATGTCAAGAAATCGAGTGTTTGCTTCTCTCGGTCTCTTCCTCCTGGTCTTCTCTCGTTCGGGTTTAATTTTAAAGAGTCTCCCTCGGTTCTAGTGCAGTGGCTTCCAGTAAATCCTTGTATTGGTAAGACTCCCTTGCTTCGCCTACTGAGAAAAAAAGCTTGAAATCGCTGAATTGAAAAGTCATCGTTATGTTGATTATCCACATTTTGTACCCTATAAAGTCCTTTGACCTTAGCTATCACTACTTTAGCGCCAGAACAAATTTACGTTGATTCGATCTTGTTCTCGAGAATGACGTCACCCTCTCGTGGCGTTTCCCACGTGTTCACCGTCTTTACTGGGCGAGTGTTTGCCAGTGTTTTTCATTGAAGATATCCTGCCGCATCATGCAATGGCGTCTCAAGCAATGTCAAACGAGCCATCAGCGAAGAAGCATAGGGGGCGCCTGCGATCGGGGATTCCTGGTGGGGAGGTAATCGGGCTCTACGAAAACGTTCTGCATGTTCAAGAAATGCTCAAGAAGATGCAGCCGATCGCGGATGGGGGTGAAGGTGCGGATGGGAACAATGAGGATCTTATTCCCGTCGACGATGTTGCTGACATGGTCGGGGAAATTGTCAAACTGTTGGCAACAAAGGTACACTCCCGCCCAGTACGTCGCGCATTTGCCATACCCTTGTTATCACTGAGCGATGCTTAGGCGTTTGCATTGTCGGGCCTTCAACAAGCTCAAATCGAGGCTCTACACCTCACCGAAGGGCCGGTTCTAAGACTCAAGGTAAACCCAGAGCGGATGGAACACGAGCGTGCGCATGGCGCTGACCAGCTATGGTCGGATGCCACTTTCTATCGCCATTTATGCATCCTACACTCGTCGGTCACCCGTGTGAGTTCCAGCATGGACACAGCTTCTTTTCCACTGATGTTTCTCTAGACTGAACCCAGTGCCCGGACGTTCATCGATGCTTTCTTTTTCCGTGCTGCGGCGATCTTTTCCTCGCGAAATTCGGAGGGAAAGCGACTTATCCTCGGCCTCGAGCTGCCTGTCAGCACCCCCGTCGGGAACGACAAAGCTACACTCAATGGGTTTGTTGATTATGCCATTATACCGACACGGGACGAACTTGCTGGTTAGAGCATCATTTTTTTGGCCATCCACGCGGAATGCTGACGCTTTCTTCATAGCTTCGTTCATGCGCGACCCGCTATTGAGGAAGATTCGACTGCACTCGGATTATGTTCTATTCATTACTGAGGCAAAAGCTGTTGACGTGTCCCTTGGCCACCAACTCCCTCAGGCTCTGGGAGAGATGTATGCTTGTTCCGAGGCCCTCGAGTATGTTCCTTCTAAGCGTCCGTCATACCCACTAACCGCAAATTTTGAAGCAAAAAAATGATACGGGGAGCATTAACCAACGGGCGTTCTTGGCTGTTCCTGCTCGTTAAGCTTGATGGCGAGGGTGGAACTTACAGGGTCTCGCATGAAATATCGATCATGGCTCCGGGTCCCGACTTCTCTCTCGAAGTGAATCCCGCTTCTTGTGCACAAGTTTCTATCATTCTCGCTAGTTGGGTATGTACCGAACCTACCGTCAATCTCCAGCTGATTTTATACCCGCCAGATTGAAAACAGCTTTACGGACTTGGACAGCGGAGATTGGTTTGAATGCTAAATTCTACAGTTTGTGCCACGATAAATATGTAGCTGCCAAATCCGATCTAAGCACGAGAACGTCACACGGCGCACGTGGCATTTTTTTTTTTAATGTGACACTCCCATCCCCGCGACTAGTGTGTGTATTTCGCTTATGTTGGCCTATCGATAAGAAAACGGCTGTAATCTGAGACGAAGCGCTGAACTTGAACGTCGCTTAGCACCAGCTTGACATGCGTTTCCCTCGTGGCCCTACATTTAGGGAGCCGCCCACTAACGATTATTAAAGACGCACTACTCGACCAGATCATGATCTAGATCTATTCCCAGCAGAGCATCACGTCAGAAAACGCAGACGCCTCAGTAATGGGACATTGTCGGTTGAAGATCGTTCATATTGCATGCCGATTTTTGAACAGCATATAGAAGCTCGCTTCGAGAGTTAAAATATAGTGAGCCTCAGGTATATAGCTCGATACTAACATTATTAAATATGAAGGCCACTCCAAGGTGTATTTAAGCGGATATCATCAAAATACGGAAAAACGTGAACCACTCCGATTTCCCTTCTCTTCGTCTCATCAGTCTCTCCCGTACGGGAATACCTGGGTACATCCAGCTCCGCTAATAGCCTGGAAGAAATAATCGAGATTCGCGTTGAGAGCTTTGCGAAGTTTTCCTGTTGGGTTCGGGTAGAGCCCCTTGACCGTTATGTTGGCCAGATTCTCGTACAATAAACAGGTGTTCGAAAAGTCCGGGGATGTTGGATCGACGGTGTAGGTGTTGACCTTACCCATATTTCTTCCAGGCTGCACAGTATGAGCCCGTATGACCACGTCGCGTCCGTTGTTGCCTTTTGCGCCGTTTGCGCGGAAGAAACCGTCTGGCATACGGCCGAATTGGAAAAATCCCCGCGCGGCATCCATGTCCAACTGGCCGTCGTCTTGGCGTCCATCGACGAAAAGGTTGACGGGGGCGACGGTCTCGCCGTAGGCGGTGAAGTATCTAAAGCCGGCGAAGTTGAAATTGGGGTTGGTCGCAATCGAGTCTTGAATGCGCTTGAACCGGAGCTCGCCCGCAACGGTAAGGTTGTACTTTCCTCCTCCAAACATGTTACTGTAGTCAATCAACTAAGAGTTGTTAGTCCCCTAGATATACGCCCTGTAGGAAACTTCGCACCTGTTGGAAGAGCGTCTCATTAAAGTCATGGTTATTCCCGAAGAATGCGTCAGCTATGCGGGATGTAGGATTAGCTCAGTGCTATCGGACGCCTTAAAAGAAATTGGGTACCTCTGGTCAGACTTGCGTCGCCTAAATGAAATGGTCAGACATGGCGCCCACAGTTGATAGATTTATAGTTACCTTCGAAGGTCCCATGATTATTGAGTCCACCGACGATAGCCGGGGCTGGTGGATCACGCCCAGTGAACGGAGTCTTGCGTCCAATGCTCAGCAAGTCTGTGATGAGATTGCCGTCCATAAGGTGTGCTGCATACGTCGCGAAGAGTGCGGCTGCGTTGGCCATATTGAACCCTGTTAATGGACATCAGCAACGAAGTCGTAGGAACCAAGTATCCCACTCGAGGACATACCTTCCATCGCCGCAGTGACCATCTGTGCCGGGGTTGCGATGCCATTTCTTGGGAGGTACTACAAGAGTGACTGTGAGTTGATTGGGGACACGATGTCATTTCGCACATACCCCATGAGACGCCAAAGTATTGAGACCCGGACAAGGCCCACGGATGTCACCTCGTCGCAGTGGTTTCCACGGG